CAGCTGGGAGGTGACAGTGGCCAGGCCACCCTGAGCCCTGACAGCTCTGATGATGCAGAGCACATCATTCCGAAAGGATCTGTCCCTCCTCAGCAAGCAGGGAGGGTGACACAGATGACACAGGTGACACAGGTGACACCGGCCTGTTTTCCATGGGATCTCTGGGCTGGTTCCTCCTCCAGCACAATCCTGGCAGTGCCCTGGGCACCACCCAGACCAAGACAGGGATGGCAGCTGAGTTTTCTCTGTGGTTGGAGGTGAAGGGAGGCACAAGATCTCCAACGGGCACCAAATCCTGGTCCCTCTGCAGGAAAGGATCTGAAAAGCTTCTACTTGAATTTCCTCCTCTCTCTCTTTCACCAGAGATATAAACCATGGGGGAGAGGTAATTAGGAAATTAATTAAGGCTGCTGCCCCTCCAGCAATCACTCATTTGCAGTCTCCAGGGGCCCCAGCACTCTGCTGGGTGCTGGGGCAGAAGCTGGAGCTGCCCAAGTCCCAGCTGCACAACACCTGGGTTACTGAGCTCCTGGATTCCAGGACATTCACTGTGTTTGGCTCCTACGAGAAGCTACTGATGTTCCTCTCACCCCCTGAGCATTCCTGCCCTTCCCCAGGCTCCCCTTGAGCTGCCAGACCCTCAGCAGGACACAAAGCAGAAACCCCAAAACGTCCCCAACTCCCAGGGCAGAGGATAAGGAGGCAAAGCCAGACCCAGAGGCTGCCATGGAAGACACAGCCAGAAATCCACAGGACAGCTGCACCTGGTCCTAAAGCTCCCCAAGAGTGCCCAGGGTGAGGCCCAGAGCTGAACCTGCAGAGGGAGGAGCTGCTGCAGCCCCTGAGCCCCTCCAGCACCCCCAACCTGCTGGGCCCCGGCACCAGGAGAGCCCAGGAGGGCACAGGGACCCCACTGCCCCCAAATCCAGAGCCCAGGAGGGCACAGGGACCCCACTGACCCCAAATCCAGAGCCCAGGAGGGCACAGGGACCCCACTGACCCCAAAGCCAGAGCAGCTCTGTGACCCTGGGGGGCTCCAAGGGGCTCCTGCAGTGCCTGATGCTGCAGTGGGAGATCACCAGGGAGCACTAGAAGGGATTTAAAGTCAGTGCTGCCCCTCTGAGCACCAGGGAAGTGTTTTCCAAAGTCTGAATGTGATTTTTTTTCCAGTAATTTTGCTGTTGCAATCCCCTTTCTACTGTGATATCTTTAATTGGTGCTTGGCCTGGCCTGAACTCAGACCAGGCTGATTTCTACTTCAATGGATCCTCCTTCTCCTCCTCACTTTGTGCACTTGAATAAATAAGTTTTTTACAGGTTCATTGTGCATTGTACAAACTAAAACCAAAGGAAACAAAGCATAAAAACGCAGAAGTTTTCAGCACAGCTCTATAAAATCAGCCCTTCCTGCACACACAGCACCGAGTCACGACGCAGGGGGACAGGGACAGCACAGGCTCAGCTCGGGGTGTTTTTGTGAACTACCATTCCAAAACCTACTGAAAAGCAAAGGAACACAAAAGCAAAATGCACCTTGTCAAGTATCACATCCCTACCAAGGAAACCTGTTGTGCTTGGAAGGAAAGAACAACGAGCTGAGCAAACTCTGCAGCCTGCAGCAGGACACAAACACAATGTTCAACCTTCCCAGAGCTGGCAAAGCACCAGCACCTGCTCAAACACCAAGGCCAGCCCCAAAAAGCGTTACCAGACCAGCTACCAAAATTCACAGTGACCCCAGCACCACCAGGGAAGGAGTTGGGATGGGGCAGGACTTGGATTTCTCCTGTTCCAGCTGTGCCTGCCCAGGCTGCTCCACAGAGCCCTCGTTAGTCACAAACTCAATTAAAACCCATCCAGGTAAAAAGGGCCTGGCTCAAATTCCTTCCTCTGTCAGCCCTGGCTGCCAACCAAGAGGAGTTTGGGATATGAACACAGGCAGGGGAATAAATAATCTGCAGACCTTTAAAAACTGGGTTTGGCATTGGTCAACCCCCCGAAATCAGCACCAAGGATTCAAACCAGAGGCACAGTTCTGACGGACAAAATAGCACCGAGGAGGCTCTTGTACATCTCTGCTGGTGTGCCAGTCCTTTAGTATTCAGAGAATTTAATAATAATAACTTGTATTTATGAATCTAGGTGGAATAAAATAAGTCAAAATTGTTTTCACTTTAAAAAAAAGATAAATACTTTATCTAAACTATCAACAATACAAACTGGAGCTTTAAGCATTTCTTTTGCCTTTTTTTTTTGCCTTTTTTTCCTTTTTTTTTTTTTTGTTTTTTTTTTTTTTAGTCAGATTCACAGTAAATGTTTGCTCTGTTGTTTAGGTCTTTTTTTTTTTATGGTTTTTATTTTGTCCAGTAGTAAGAGTAGAAACCCCTGCACAGGCCAGGTGAGCACCTTTCAGTGGAAGCCGAGTGAAGTTGGTCCACGTTGTCCTTGCATAGGTCACATTGGGTTGAGGTAGAAATCCTAGTTACCTGCACAACAGGAGGAGAGGAAGAGACTCATCTAAATAAAAGGCAAAAATCTGCTGTGTTGTTCGATGTGTCAATCATTCCTACATTGCTCCAAGACCTCCTCAGATGAAGCAAATCTTGGCCCAATCCCCATTAGAGGAAGGGATGGATGTTCCAAGGGATGTGAGGCCCCACCAAATGCTGAAGTTTTTCAAGCTGTGTTGAACTCTGTCCTATGGGACTGAAATCAAGTGAGGGGAAAAGAGTAAAAAAGGTATTTTCCCCCTCAGTATGTCACCATTTTAGAGTAAAAGTTAATCTGCTTTGAGTTTTGTTATTATTGTGAGGGAGGGACATTATGAATCATAGAATGCTTTGGGTTGGGAGGGACTTAAAATCCCATCCAGTGCCACCCCTGCCATGGCAGGGACACCTCCCACTGTCCCAGGCTGCTCCCAGCCCTGTCCAGCCTGGCCTTGGGCACTGCCAGGGATCCAGGGGCAGCCCCAGCTGCTCTGGGAAATCCATTCCAGGGATGGATTCCACAATTCCTGATTCCCAATCTCCCACCCAGCCCTGCCCTGTGGCAGTGGGAGCCATTCCCTGTGTCCTGTCCCTGCAGGCCTTGTCCCCAGTCCCTCTGCAGCTCTCCTGGAGCCCCTTCAGGCCCCAAAAGGGGCTCTGAGGTGTCCCTGGAGCCTTCTCTTGTCCAGGTGAGCACGCCCAGCTCTCCCAGCACAGAAGCAAAGCAGATTATTTCAGTCCCCAATTCCTGGTTCCACATCTGAACCCATTTCTGTTCCCACAGAAATCAAGGGCACTGCTCAAATCCCTTGGCTTCAAGTCACAGGGCTTGGGATCACAACCACCTCAGGCACCATCAGTTCTGCTCCTGTGCTCCATAACCCACCTTTGACACCCAGATATTTTTCTACCAGTCCTTTTTGTGCTTTGCCTCTTATTTTCAGTATTTTTCAGTGACAGGGACCGTCACACCTGATGGATCCTAGTCCAGCAGGTCTAGGTCCAATTACCTGGTCTCAGTTCCAGATAATTCCAACAGAGACCCTCCTCATCATCCCCATCTTCCTTCATCCCCATCCTCTCTCCTTTTGGGGGTTTTCCATGCCCACCTCTCTGCTTGCACACAAATCCTTTCCTCAGCCTCCCTTTCCTCAGGGAAGGACCTGGCAATACTTACGTGCCTCCCAAAAGCCTAACCAGGGGTTTTGTGGTGTCTGAGGAGGAATTTGATGAGGAAAACACTACACACAATGCACAGAGGCTCTCTCAGGTGTGTTGTAATCGAGTTTTATAAAGCAGCAAAGTGTGTTCAACCACGTTTGTAGCTTTGGTACCAGTGGACAGCAACAACATCACAGAGACCTACAAGGAAAGCAGGGAGCCAGCTCTGGGGCTGGGCACACTTGGATGCACTTGGCAAGCACGAGTTTGGTACAGCAGGATTGCCACAGAGAGTTTGCATTGACCACAGGACCCAGCTCTGTGGCAGTACAGTTTATTCTGGAGACAGTTCAACCAATACCTGCTGCAGGAGAAATGCACACAGCCTCCAGAAGCTCCTCCAGCCTTTGTGGAGAGTGGAGCCCACTGCCCCCTGCACATTCCCTGTGCTCCCAGGGCTTGTGAGCAAATATAAAACATCTGCTGGGGCTGCTCCTGCTGGCCCTGGCAGCAAGAGCAGCACAGGGAAGTGACAGGGGAGTCACAGCCCCTCTCTGCTACCTGTGCTTGTGTTTCCAGTGATGCAGGGACACTGACTGCTCTGCAGGCCCAGGGAATTTGCTCTCCAAGCAAAGCTGAAGCTTATAACCCAGAGATTGTTGACTTTATGACCATTTAGAGCAGCTGTTGTTGACTGGCAGTTTTTACTGACCACCACATTGTCACACAGAGTCACAAAGAGGCAACTTTGGGCACCTCAGTGCTACAGACAAGGACTGGTTTGGGATAAACAGGCTGTGCAAGAGGGGGGATCAGATGGGCAACACTCACTTCCAAAAACTGTATAAAATCACATGAAAAATAGACATTTTCTCCTGTGGCTACCTCCAGAAAGAACATTTTCTCTTCCTATGAAGAGACCTCAGCCTGAACATAACCCTGAGCCAGAGCAGAGTTACCCATGTGAGCACTTTTTGTCGAGAAATCCTGACTCCCAGAACAGAGCACCAACACTTCCCAGCCTCTGTCAACATCCTCTGATCTGCTCCCCACATTTTAGAGATTTCAATCCCCATTTTAGAGATTTCAATCCTCACATTTTAGAGATTTCAATCCCCTCATGTTAGAGATTTCAGTCCCCTACATTTTAGAGATTTCGGTCCCCATTTTAGAGATATCAATCCCCACAATTTAGGGATTTCAATCCCCACATTTTAGAGATTTCAATCCTCACATTTTCGAGATTTCAATCTCCACATTTTCGAGATTTCAATCCACACATTTTAGAGATTTCAATCCCCATTTTTGAGATTTCAAACCTCCACATTTTCGAGTTTTCAATGCAGGCATTTTAGAGATTTCAATCTGGACATTTAAGAGATCTCAAATTCCCATTTCAGACGTTTCAATCCCCATTTTAGAGATTTCAATCCTCACATTTTAGAGATTCCAATCCCCACATTTTAGAGATTTCAATCCCCATTTCAGAGGTTTCTCTCCCCCATTTTAGGGCTCATTTTCCCCATCCTCTGCCACCAGCTGATTCGCTCCCCACATTTCAGAGATTTCAATCCACCCATTTTGGAGATTTCAATCCCCACATTTTAGAGATTTCAATCCGGACATGTTAGAGATTTCAATCCCCACATGTTAGAGATTCCTCTCCCCATTTCAGAGGTTTCTCTCCCCCATTTTAGGGCTCATTTTCCCCGTTTCAGAGGTTCCTGTTTCACGGAGCCCCGACCTCTCTCTCTCTCTCTGCAAAGGAAGAAGCGTCAAGTGAGCATCTCGCCCGCAAACTCCTCTGGTTTTGTGTCTGGCCTTACCTTACAAAACAAGAACTGTTAGCTAAGCAAGCTCTTTATCGTGGCTTAACCCCCGAAAGGTGCGAAGCATAAGGAGGCTGCATGCCAAGGGTCACCCACATAGCGGCCGTGCCAGCGGCGTTGGGCTGCGGGAGCACGCGGGGCAGGGGCGGGTGGTGCACGGTAAAGGAGGGGCGGGAGGGTTTGTGCTGGAGAGAAGCCAGTTTGAGAGACAAAGAAGAGTTAGACTGGACAGAGGAAGAGGAGGAGGAGGAGGAGGAGGAGGCGGGCAGGAACGTCTCGCCAGGAGGGATGGAGGGCAGGTTCTGCAGGAGAGCAGGCTCGGAGTTAGAAGCGAGTAAAGGAGGAGGGGGAGGCAAGGACACGTTAGGAGGAGGTGGAGGGGGGTGGAAGACAGATTGCACTGGAGCTCTGTTGAGGTGCTGAGCAGGTCTAGTGTCACTAGATGTTACTAAATTAGAGGAAGAGGGTGGGAAGGATGAGGATGAGGTGCTGGCAACAGCCTGCAGAGGGTTTAAGCTTAGCACGGTGCTGCTAGAGACAGCACTGCTGCTGAAACTGGCTCCAAACTGATGAGGAGAGGAGGCAGAAGGCACCGCATGGTTAAAAATACCTGCAAACAGGAGAGAAAAACTCAGCTTCAACAGATGGCCTTTGTACAGTCTCAAGTGACAAGAGAAACAAAACAAAACAAAAAAAAAAGGAAAATAAACAAACAAACAAAAGCAAAATTATAATAAGTCACAGCCCCATACAAAAATGTGCAGCGTGAGAAGGCAGCAAGCAATGAGGAGATAATGGTGCAGGCCAGGAGGTACAAAAGGTTCCACTTACCTTTCCTACTGCCAACCTCTAAAGGCCACGAGGAAAAATGGTCAGACCCAAGAACTGTCACTTCTATACCACACAGGCAGAGTTTTGATGAGATTAGAAGTGATCTTTAGAGTTGCTTATCTGAAGACTCAAAGTGCTGCTCTTCCCTCCCCACCCTCCTGCTCCCCCACTTACAGGGCAGCAGAGGGGAGGTGTAATTCCAGCAAATCTACGTGCTGAGAGATGTGAGAGTTAGGATTTCCCGACATGGTGCCTGAATGATTATGGACAGGTCAGAAAAACTGCCCTAGACACTTAAGAGATGGCAGGTCCAGCCTATCTTCTGGTCCTGCCAGCTTGTCCCCGGTGTGGGCCACAGAAGCCAAGCCTGTGCAGAATCCCAGAAGTGCAAGGTGCATATGGCATTGCCCTTCCTGGCCAAGAAATGCTCTTCATGTCCATTCAAGGGCCAGAATGCTACAGAACTCCCAACACCAGCTCCTCTGATGTTCTGCTCCTCCTGGATCATGCTAAATCCATTCAAGGCCTAAACTCAACCTTTACTCAAGTTGACAAGTTAGAGATCCTTAACATGGTACCAGGACAAGTCAAATCTGTTACCTGCAGGCAGACCTAAGTTGGTTCCAACACAGCAACATCTGAACAAGCAAACATTATCAATCACAAAGTCTGGGTGTATTGTTTCATTAAGGTGGTACAACAAGCTCATCTAGCAGACAAAGCTCATGAGATTTCACTGTAGGGAACTGAAATCATCCTAGCAATTCCAAGAGAGAGAAAGAGAGAGAGAGAGGAGACTGGTTATGTGGGACAGATCTGCTTGGCATCCTGTAGAAATGAAAGGGTTTCACCCCTGGAGAGGCAGTGTCAGATTTTCCTTTAGGCCCTGTCTTATACCAGAGAAAGAGTTCTGCCTACCTCCAACTGTTCCACCTGTAACCCCAGGAGAGAAGTTCCCCATAGTGTGAGAATTAGTCAGTCTGGTTGCAGCTGATGACACGTGGACCAGACTGGCAGCAGCTGGCATTGAATTAAATAAGGACTGCAATACTGAGGAATTTGTCACCGAGTTGAGGTTTGCTTGCAAGGCCATGGGGCCGAGGGGGAACTGTGATCCAGTGGTCAGAGTGTTGAGGAAGGGATGGTGCGTCGGGACAGACGGCGCTGGGTTCCCTGCTGAGGAAACAGCAGTAGAAAGGCTTTTACCATTCAGAAGGCCACCAGACGAAACAGCAGCAGAAATGAAAAGGTTGTGGCCGTTTTTAAACTCCACGTCTCGGTCCCTTCCCTTGCCGACCTTCCCGTTGTGCTGCACTGAGTTTTTCTCCACAGCCCCCCCGGCTCGGGCGCTCAGCTCGCCCAGCTCCTTGCCCTTCACCCCCGGCCGGCTCAGCTCTTCTCCCTTGGTGCCCAGAGCTTCCAGCTGCCTCTTGTTCAGGAACAGGTTGGTGTCTGACACCCCCAGGTCCTTGCCTCGCTGCGAGGGGAAGCCCAGGGAGCAGTTGGAACCATCCCCAGCTTTGTGAGGGAGAGCGGCGCCGTCCATGAAGCCGTGCAGGCCCAGCTCGGAGGACAGGCCCCCGTTGTAGCTGAAGCCATTGGGGGGGTTTGTGCCAGGGCTCAGCCCATCCGAGGGCACTGCCAGGCTCTTCCTGGGGTGTCCTGGCACCTTGGTGTCCATGGGCAGCCCGTCCTCGGAGGAAGGCCTGAAGGCAAACAGGGAGTTCTGGCTCAGAGCTGACACGGCCTGCAAGGGGCTGTCGGTGGTTTTGGTCAGGTTGATGTCAGATATCGGTGAAAAAGTCGATTTCCATTTGCTGCTGTTCATGTTCTCGTTGCTTTGTGCTTGTTTCCTCCCCGATATGCTGCCACCTAAATGGGGAGGGAAGGTTTAGAAATGTCAATAAACAGCATTCACTCAATCTGCCCCTTGAGAATGGGGTTTATAGAATCACGGAGTCCTTTAAGATCATCAAGTCCAATCATCAACCAGCACCACCACCATGATTATCACTAAACCATGTCCCCAAGTGCCCCATCCATTGGTATTCTGAACACTTCCAGGGATGGTGACTCTACCAGTCCAGGTGGCCCCTTCCAATGCCTGACCACCCTTTTAGTGAAGAAATTCTCACAATATCCAATCTAAACCTCTCCTGGCACATCTTGAGACCAGTTTTCCCTGTACTGTCCCTTGTTTCCTGGGAGCAGAGCCTCATTCCCCCTGGCTGTCCCCTCCTCTCAGGAAGTTGTAGAAAGTGAGGACCTCCCAAGCTTCTTTTTCTCCAGGCTGAGTTCCCCCAGCTCCCTCAGATGCTCCTGGTGATTCAGACACTTCTCTGAACAATATCCACATTTTTTTATCCTTCAAAACCCACCTTTTATCAGTCTGCAATTCTATTTCTGAACCAAAGGCAGAAATATTTGTGAAGTCATCTGAAAGTCCTTAAAATTCATTTCAACACTCTGAAAGAGTCTGAGGACACTGATCTGCTTTCCCCCCCCCATATTTGTACTACAGATCCCTCCTCAAACCCTGAGTCAGTGAAAAAACTGGTCACATCTTTGCTGACCTGTGACTACAGAAAGAAGTGACCCAAAATCTGTAATTAGCAGCCACCTGGCTTAATGATGATTAAGAATGACACTTGGTCCAGCAGCAGAGAGAAACATCCCACAGACTGTCAGCTTCACCCATCCCAGGCCCAGCCATTGCCACAAACAATTCCCATTCCTCACACGTACCATTTTCAACAGTCTTCTGTGGAGATTTGCTTTCCAATGATATTGTTGCAATTTTCCTCTCAATTCTAGTGGGAAAATAGAAAGGTTATTGCACCTATAGCAAACCTTCTCTTGCACATTTCCCCTCTCAATCTATACTCCTCATGATCAGGTCTTATCAGATGAGAGAGTAGAAAAAAACAACTCAGTCCCACAGTTTTGTGTCACTAAAGGAATTTATAAGCATCCAAAAACCCACCACAAACTTTAGGCAGGAGTCATTACAGAATTACTGCTTTTTGACAGGATTAGTTCACATTCAGAGAACTTTGTTGGTTTTTTTGAAAACAAGAAGTAGAACCACATTCCTGTAGTGGTTGTTTGCCACAGAACCATAGGATGGTTTAGGTTGGGGGGGACTTTAAAGCTCATCTCATCCCTCTGCTGCCATGGCAGGGACACCTTCCACCTACCCAGGCTGCTCCAAGCCCTGTCCAGCCTGGCCTTGGGCACTGCCAGGGATCCAGGGGCAGCCCCAGCTGCTCTGGGCACCCTGTGCCAGGGCCCTCCTGGGCTCTGCCATCCCTGGGCTGAGCCCCCTCCTGATGAATTGAGGGGAGGAGAGGGGCAAACCAGGCAGGTTTGGGGGTTGCCAGCAGCACCTTCCTGGATTAGCAGAGCAAACAGAAATCCCACAGCTGCCAGAATGGGAAAATGAGCTGGGAAATCCTGGTCCCACTGGTTGAGGGAATAAATCCCAGAATATCTTGAGTTCGAAGGGACCCTCAGGGATCATCAGCCCAGCCCTGTCCCTGCACAGCCACCCCAACACCCCCACCCTGAGCAGCCCTGGGAGCTCCTGCAGCTCTGGCAGCCTTGGCACCATTGCCTGGGCAGCCTGGGCAGTGCCCAGCAGCCTCGGGGGGCAGAACCTTGCCCTGAGCTCCATGCCAAGGCCTGGCACAGCTGCAGCCCTTGCTGGGCTCCTGTCCCTGTGCCAGAGCAGAGCTCAGCCCCTGCCCCTGTGCCTGCCCTGGGGAGGAGCTGCAGCCCCCGAGGAGCCTCCCCTCAGCCTCCTCCATCTCTCAGTCATTTCTCCAGCAGTTATCTCCAAGGCCAGACTCTGCCAGCTTTGCAAACACGGCAGCAGCCACAGTAGCTTCCCACATTCTGCCTGAATATCTCCCCTGTTCACAGCTTCAGCCACATAACAGGCTTGGCATAATGGGATGGGCCTTTAAGCAAGGAGAACAAAGAGGCTTTAAACACACCCCTGCTGCTGAGAGCAGACTTATCAGCCCTGAGAGAAACCCTATCCTGAAACTGTGCCTGTGCATTCACCTGCTGCTATTGTGCTCATCCTCAGAGCCCTGCTCGTCATCCGATGTCAGGGGGGAGTAATGGACACCGTTGCTCTGAACGAGGGGCTTCTCTTTTTTCAGCACTGGGGGCTGGTCATTGTCCTGGTAAGGAACAGGAGAGTTCTTCAGGGAGTTTTCAGGAGAGGAAATGGCTGTTATTTCTAAGGGCTGGTTAATGTTATTGACCTGGGTGAAAAGGAAAGAAAGCAGTTATACATGAGAGCATCCTTGGAAAGACATCTTAAAAAAGATCTTAAAGATTATAATGCAGGTTTAACTTGCTCTGGGACATCCAACAGATGCTGGTTTAGCACTGCTGCTGCTGTCTTCCACCTCCTCCTTTTTTTAAGGTGAAGGCTTAAATGTAATTTGGAAAAATAGCAAATTTTCATTCTTTGATTTCATGTTTGACATCAGAAATGACGACCTGGGATAAACCTTTCCTTCTCAAACTCCACTGCAGGATCACATGCACACAACTCTCTAGCTGGCTTCATTAGCAAGAATGCCATATGCTTCTGGCACTCCTCTGCTGTTTAGTCAATCTTAGCTTAAACTATTTTCAAAATATTGAATCTACAGCCTCAAAAATCAACTTCACTGCAAAAACAAGCTCTTTGTCATGAGGGAAGAGATTATTTTTAATTTTTAATGCTCTGACAGCAAAGAGCTCTTTGAAGACGTTCTGCTTATACACAAACTGTTCACCAACTTAGTGAAAACAAGAGGCAGGAATTGCTGCAAAGAGCCTTCATGGCAATTCCAGCTCCAGCCTGGAGCTTATCCCTTGTGGAATCCTCTGATTCCTTCCCCCTCAAGGAAAACCCCAGAGCCTTGCCTTGGAGAGATTTACCATAGTCTTACCATACTCTTACCATAGAGTTTACCCCACCTGGGTGGACAGAAAACGCTTCCTATGGAATCTTGCCCAACACTGATCCATCCCAGCTCCTTCCCCCACATGTCCCAAGTTCCCCTGGTTTCTCCTTTCCCTGTTTCCTCCCTGGTTGTGGTACCCCTTCTGGCCAGCCCCATCTTCTCTGAAAGCCAAAGCCCTTTGCTCTGCCCTTTGTGCCACCCCTGTGCCTTCCCTACTAAACGTTGTGCACAGAACATAGTTTGTCTTTTGTCTCTGGTTCCCCTTCAACGCTCTGAAATAAACCTTGCTGGAACTGACCATATGTTATAGATACATATTATAATATTGGCTTTTCACAAATATTAAAATGGCTTTTATATGTGTGGTGTTAAAGTAAAATGAATTTTATATGTGTGATGTTATCTTTGTTATAAAGATATAGTTTTTGTTTCTGTTATTAATTAAGCTTAGACATAATAGTGGAATAGCTGATATCAGTGTGCTTGTGTTAAAATGCCTGCTTGGATGGGATAACATCCAATGAACACAGCATGAGGACACCTGTACAGATCTGCCAGCCATCAGCATCTGCTGTCTGAAAAAGTGTGGACCAAGGCCCAAAATTGAAAGTGATATAAGAAAAGGAACCAAAACCACAGCCAAGAAACATGCATGCTCTAAAAAGGCAGAGCCAAGGAGGGGCCATGTAAAATAGTTCCTGGGATATCTTGGATATCTTGGGTAAACTAGTTATGGATATGTTAAAGGATCTATGAATATGCAACAGGCTGTGTAAGAAAAAAGGTATTTAAGGGCATCCCCAAAGGCTGAGTGCCAAGATGGACCTGGCTGTAATAACCTTTGCTCCATGGTCCTTGTCTCCCATTGTCCTTTATTAAACTTAAACTTTCACAGCAGAGTGAAGGTGTTTTTCACAGCTGAAAACCCTGCCTTTATTAAACTTCTTAAATTTTCACAGGAGAATGAGGATGTTTTCACACCACACAAAAGGCCCTTCTGCCTCCCTTTGCTGAGCTTGGGTGTGTGTGGACTTGCCTGCCTTGCCTAAATGTTCACCCACACAGCTTTTCCACAGGAGATGCTCACTGGGGAACCATAGGAATGTGTCCTCTGTTGACAGAGAGACCAAACTCTCATTTGTCCCCTTAAAAAGGAAAAAAGCCCAGAAATTTCTCTCCTCTATTAGGTAAAAACACATCTCATAGGACTTGGGAGATTTCACCTCAAACTTAAAGATAGTTAAATGGACAGAAGCCAAAAAGGCCCACCTGAGCAATTTACTAGAAAAAGAAGAGAACAAAGAAACTAATGGCTTTTGTGAGGTGTTTTATCAGAGCAAGAACCTCTTGCACCTGGCTGGTTTTTTTTCTGTAAAGAGTTTTGTTATTTTGCCTTTTATTAAACCTTTTTGTTTCCAACACTACCACAAATCCTGTTGATTTTATGCCTTCTAAGGTAGCTGAGCTATGTTGAATTTTAAACAGATCTCCAAGAGCTGATGAGACTCGAGGAGATCCCTGTTTTAGGGAACAGCCACCACCCTCTAAACACTTTTTGTTTCCAACACTACCATAGAAGCCTGTTCATTTTATGCCTTCTAAGGTAGCTGAGCTATCTTGGATGTGAAATAGATCTCCAAGAGCTTATGAGACCTGGCTCAAGGAGATATTTCAGGGACATCCCATATTAGAGGGAACAGGTAACAGCAACAACCCTCTAAACCAGCGCTACCACAGAAGCCATCCTGTTGATATTAGGCCTTCTAAGGTAACTGAGCCATCTTGGGCGTGAAATAAATCTCCAAGAGTGAGATGAGACCTGGCTTGAGGAGACCAATATTTCAGGGAACAGGTAACAACCACCACCCTCTAAACCAACAGTTTTTGTTTCCAACCCTACCACAAAAGCCATCCTGTTGATTTTATGCCTTCTAAGGTAGCTGAGATACCTTGATCTCCAACAGCTAATGAGACTTGAGGAGGTCCATTATTTAAGGGAACAGGTAACAACCACCACCCTCTAAACACTTTTTGTTTCCAACCCTACCACAAAAGCCATCCTGTTGATTTTATGTCTTCTAAGGTAGCTGAGCTACCTTGATCTCCAAGAGCTGATGAGACTCAAGGAGACTCCTATTTCAGAGAACAGGTAACAGCCACCCCCCACGCTGAACTCCCCACTCCCAGAGCTGTCCCAGAGCCCATCTGGTGCCCTTACCATGGAGTTGATGTTGAGGGGTGACCCCGAGGGCTGTGTGAAGAGCCCGGCCAGCGAGGGCAGCGCTTTGCGTTTCGGGGAGACGGCGCCGTTGCCGCTGGCACTGCCCGGGTTCGATCTCTTCCGCCGGCCCCGCTTCTTCCCGTCCTGCCCGTGGGCCTGGCAGCTGCCTGCCACGGGGCTGTGCTTGCTGCAAGGGGATTGTTTTACATGTCCTGTATTAGGAGAGATTGTAAAGATGATTCTCCTCTTGGCCTCGTTCTCGGCATCTGAAAAGGCTGCATCACACTGCGGGTCCCCCTTTGTTGCTTCGGCAAAGATCTTCTGAGCCTCTGCACTCTGCAGTCCCCCTGCCAGGCTCTGGGCCGGGCCACCTAAGCGGGGGCTCAAGTGCTGCTGAGCAGGGGAGTTCTGCCCAGAGTTCCTCATCATTAGCAAAGGATGTTGTGGAGTGGAACTCCGAGACCCTACAGAGTTAAAGAGACTCCCAGAGTCGTCCAGAGCTGCCTGATCAACACTATGGTTAAGATGGGCTGGGCTGTTTGTAAGATTTCCATTGACTGCCACGGAGCCAGAAGAGTAAGAAAAACCTGTTGAGAGGGAAAGTATAGATCATTGCTGGGGCTGAGCAAGAGAGGTCACTGAGAACAGGGCTGGGAGGGCCAGGAGGGATTCCAGCTCTGCCTGGAGGACAGCCAGTGGCCCTGGATTCCATGGGAAACACAGGGCTGCTTTTCCCTGTGGCTCTCTGGGTGCTGAGGTGCCAGTTGGGGGTTAGGAACTTCCACCGCTCTCTTGCCAGTTCAGGAAAATTCACCTGCTATATGGAGGTACCCACAGAACATGTGCTCCTCCCAGTTTTGCATGGAATACAAGTTACAGCTTTGTTTGAAGTATTACCCCTCTTTAATCAGGGCTCCTCTACTCTCAACTCCTTCCTTTCATCAAGGAAATGGATGGCCAGACTCAGTCCTTCCCTCCCCCAAAAAGAGAAGGACTTTGCCATGCACACAGCCCACCTCCTCCAAATTCAGCAAAAGCCTGGGACTTAGGGAGTGACAGGGGACCTTCAAGGACATAGTGGCAGAAAAATCCCACAAGGGAGGAATCTTGTGACGGGAATTCAGAATTTATCACAGGGTATCATAAATGGGTTTAGGGTTCTAGGATGGCCTGGGCTCTCTAAATGAAAAGGGCAGAAGGGAACAACATGATAATGGTTTACAACAAGGTTTTTTAAATACTTCATTTGCTTTATAGATAAAAGCAGCCAAGCCCGTTGCAAAACAAATATTGAAACAACCCAAGCCCTCAGGGTGGTAAACACTGAGAACAAAAGCACTCTCTGGTGAGGGATCAGCTGTAGAACTTTTCCTGGCCCACAACATTCCCAGAGTAGCTAAAGACCATGATTTCCATGGAACAGAGTCAGAAGCAATGTCTGCACCTAAAGGGATCCCCATCCTCTCCCATTTGAGCTTCTCCCACCCAGATTGTTGTGCCTTTACAGCTGCTCACAAGGCACCTCCATAACCTGCTCCCAAAAATTTATTCTGCTATTTAAAGACCCTGTAAAATAAAACTTTTAGAGCCAGATCAGCTCAGGACACAGCTGTGCCACCAGCTGCAGACACTCTGCAGGTTTGCCATACTATAAATCATGGGATCCAGTGGGAATCTCTGGATCCCCACAGAACCCACAGAAAGAATTGTTTATTTACAGGTAAAGGCACATCAATCCAACCCTTTATGCCAGATGCACATCAGAGCATCATCCATGAGTTTCTGCTCCCACCCAGAGCTATCCAGCACTCCAGGGCCTGCAGCACCTGGCAAGAAGTGCTTGGAAAACTCAGCTGGGTGTGTTTGGGTGCTGCCCCAAGGCAGGAGCAGCTGAGCACGGGTGAGGCTGTTACCTGAGGTAGCCAAAGCCAGAGGCTTGTTTCCAGCAGCATTGCTTATGCCATTATGAGAACTAGCACCAATCTGCTTTTCAAGTGTTGATGAGTCTCTGCTCTGGTGAACTGGGCTGGGTGTGCTTCTCTGGGGAGAGAAAAGGGCATTTCAGGGAACAGCAGCAGAAATCTCCAAATTCAACCAAATTCATGCATTAGCACATCTGCCTGGGAAGGGGCCCTGCTTCCTGTGTGCCCCAGATTCAGCTTGTTTTGAGAAAAGCATGGATCAGCAGGTTATAGCCCCAAATGAGTGATTAATTAAGCTGCAGTAGTATCTTACACATAGCAGGCACCATGCAGAGAGGGAGGCTCCTCATCACAGGATATTCACACCCAGGAGAGCTCTGCAGGAGCAGGAATGGCTCAGCAGCAGCACAGAGGGCACTGTGGTTGTATCATGTCCCCAGGCCTGTGCTCACAAAGCTCCCAAAACAACCCCAAAGGGAACATGAAGTGCATCAGGCCATGTTCTCTGGGACATTCTCTGAGGAAACACCTGTGAAAAGGCAGCCTGAACAACCAGGGAGGTGCCACCCAGGGCTGGCACTGCCCTAAGGACACCCAGAGCTGAGCAGGCTCTGGTTCTGCTAAAGCCAGAAGTCTTCAGCTGGAAAAATGCAAAGGGTTCAATACTGTGAACCAGCTCCAGCTTTCCCAAAATGGGAGAGAAAGACAAGTCATGGATGGATTCTAACTCAGAGCTCTCAGCAAAAGCAGCAAATGCTTCTCAGCTCTCTGCTGCAGCACTTCTGTCACAAATGGTGTGAGAAACTGGACCAGGCCTTTTTGAACTCCTCCTCCACTCAGAGAGGGCAGGGACTTATCACATCTCCAAAAGAGATGACCCCAGAGGCTTTCTGCTACAGAGCAGTGAGGTATCCCAGCCTCAAGGGGCTGTTCAAGCTCACCCTGCACATGTGTGAGGAGAATAGGCAGCTTTGAGGTGACTGAGACAGAATTCTCCCTCAGATTCCTGCAGAAAGCAGGGCTAAGAACTAATTGACACATGCAATTCTCTGCCACAAACTCTCAGGCTTTTCACCCAGACACACATTCCAGACCAGGCTGTCCTGAGGTATTTAATTTACTCTCCTTTCTGGCTGAACCTCCCTCCACCCCACAGAGAAAAGAGAGGAAAAATCCACAGGATCCAAGAGGATCATCCCCCAGCAGCCACCCCAAGGAGGATCCTGGGGCACAGCACCCCATTCCTACCCCTGGGATTTTATTTAGGGATGGAAAGTGTTGACAATCCCTTACTCACCACCTTCTCAACACGGCTAGGTAGGACTACGCTGGCCAGAGGGATACTAACAGGGAGTTTATTGGGCTGCACTGTGCTCAGAGGAATACTGATAGGGAGGCTGGTGATAGTTTCTCCATTACTCACAGAGCTTCTCTCTCTCAAAACCTGTAAAAATCAAAAGAGAAAGCAAAGTTCTTACACAGAATATTGAAAATGTTTTTTAAGGTAATGATAATCTGCTTGTTTCTTTGTGTGTGCCATTCCTCCATTTCTTTTTTTTTAAGGAATTACTACATCAGACAGGGAGCAGCACCAGGCTCCTGGGACAGCACCATCCCACAGCACAGAAATTTACCCATTTTAATGGGTAAATTAAGGCCACTGCTGGCCCCCAGCATCAGGAAAAGGAAGCCTCAGGCAAGCTCATTTTCCTTGTGTTTTGGTTGGAGCTCTGTGAAAAGCACTCAGATGTCAGATTTTGTATCTTGAGGCCCTCTGTAGCAGCCAGATGCATTTCCATGGCAACCTGCTACTGCAGGGCACCTGCTGCTCTGTGAGCCCCAATGTGCTCCATGGCTGCACCAATTACATGGACCATATTTCTTACTCTTTATTTTTATAACTGTGCAAGAGCCTCCTTTCCCAGTTCAAGCAGACACGTGCCAGATCAAACAGCATTCCCACCACCAGCAATACTGGTGCTCAGGAAAGAGCACATTTTTCTCTCCCTCTGACCAGCTCTGATTTATTGCATTATACCCACTGGATTTTATCATTTCCCATTCCAAGCTGGCCACAGAAGGCAGCATTTCTTCATTTTCCAGTCTGGCCATTCCTGCATTTCCCAGGCCATTCCTGCATTTTCCAGCTTGGCCAACCCTGCATTTTCCAGGCCCTTCCTGCATTTTCCAGTCTGGCAACTCTGCATTTCCCAGGCCATTCCTGCACTTTCCAGCCTGGCCAACCTTGCATTTTTCAGCCTGGCCAACCCTGCATTTTCCAGCCTGGCCAACCTTGCATTTTTCAGCCTGGCCAACCCTGCATTTTCCAGCCTGGCCATTCCTGCATTTTCCAGTGTGGCCAACCCTGCATTTTCCATGCCATTCCTGCATTTTTCAGTGTGGCCAACCCTGCATTTTCCAGGCCATTCCTGCATTTTCCAGCCTGGCCAGCCCTCCATTTTCCAGCCTGGCCATTCCTGCATTTTCCGATCTGGCAACTCTGCATTTCCAGGCCATTTCTGCATTCCCCAGCCTGGCCATTCCTGCATTTTCCAGCCTGGCCAACCCTGCATTTTCCAGGCCATTCCTGCATCTTCCAGTGTGGCCAACCCTGCATTTTCCAGGCCATTCCTGCATTTCCCAGCCTGCCCTGAGCAGCTGCACACCCTTTACCTTCTCTCCTGCACTGGGTAAGGCCGCGGGGGAGGAGGGCCGAGTTTCCTGAGGACTCAGCTTGATGCCATTTGCAATTCCAGGGCTTGGGTATGTAAGGCCATTCTCTTTGACATGCTCAGCTCTGGAAGAGAAATGTACAATTGTCAGGATGCAAAAGCCAGTGACAAGAAATACCACACTCAATTCCTGTCCCACTTTATTTACCCCATTAGCTCTCATCGCTTGTTTTCATGAAATAAAACTTTTTAAAACAGATTAACTTCCAATTTGAAAAACATCTTTTCCCAATATTAGTATCAGTGCTACTAACACTACCTGTTGCAGTAAGGTTGGAAAATTATAAAGAAAGGCCTGCTTTCCTGGAATCAGTGGCAAAGCTGGCACTTTGCAAGTTCCCATGTGAAAGCAATCTTGGTGTGAGCAGTTTGTTAGCAAAACAATCTATTCCTGAGTGAGAAACAACCGGCACCAGTATAAACTGTTTTTAGATAGAAAAATGAAAACCATCTCTCACAAACAACTTTCCCTGCACGTACACACCACGGTTTGAATGAGCAATTAATACAGGGTAACAACTTGTTACTAATAATAATTGGCAAAAAAACTACTGACCAATTGGAGTCACACATGAGGTCTGTATAAAAATGTATAAAACTGTATAAAAATTAATTATGTGAATAAATAAGTGTAAGAGCCTAAATGAGGGATGTGGGACTCCAGGTGGCTCTCTAAAATGCAGTTTATTGTATCTAAGATGTTACAGCAGTCCAGGGTGGTGGGTGACAAAGCTGTGCCTACAGCTGCCAGCTCCAGCTGCAGGAAGGCCTGGAGACCCTTTGGTTTTGGTTACATTGCATTATATACTTTTCTTTTGGTTACATTGCATTATATATTTTTCTTCTGGTTACAATGCATTACATGCTTTTCTTTACTGAGCATCTTCATACAGTAGAACCAATCTATACCTTAACTATTACCTAAGGCCTATTTTAACTACTATAATTACCATATTCGTGTTACTGTTCTCCAATCACTAAAAGTCAGTACATTACAGTTTAAGCTAGAAGTTGTTATTCAGTTTTCTTGCCATGGAAAATTCTGAGACCTTTTTTCTACTTGCAACTTTGCTGACTTGTTTGCCTGTGCTATCTTTCTGCTTGGTAAAAACTTCTTGTCTGAGGTGGGTTTATCCTTTGCTCTAAGCCATAAAAACCCCTTCTAACTAACACACCCTTTGCCTCCTTGGTTATCCAGTAAAAAACTGGCTCAGCAATTCTTTTCTTCAACATCGAACCTTGCTTCCAACTCTATTCCTTCATCAGACTCTACATTTAAAAATCTTTCCGCTAAGCACACATATCTGTGAGACCTTCTTGTCAAACTTTCATCCTTCCCAACAAATAAGGGGCTTTTTCCAGCATGAAGAAAATGGAATCCAGGTGATTTATTCTGCTCTCACCCCTCTCACCTCTGGATCTCATTAGCTGTGGCTTTTCCATTGACTCCGTGGTCCTGATTCAAGTGTCTGCGCAGGGCGATTTTAGCAGGGGAGAACCTGGTGTAATCAGGGAGGGCCAGGCTGGTCACCTTGTCTGCCTTCTGCCTGCTGCTGTGGTTGGGGGTGCAGGGCACAATGTCGTGGTCCAGGTGGGAGTTGGGGTACTGGGGGGTGTTCTGCTTGGACGAGGGCCGGCTGAAGGCGTGCTGCAGCTCGTAGGGGGTGGCGTGGCCGTTCATGGACAGCTCGGGGCTCATGCCATTCATGTGGGGCATGGGGAACTTGGAGTACTCCAGTTCCAGCTGGAACCTGCCCTGCTCAGCCTCAGGGTCACGGCTCAGGTGGCTTTTGCTGTGCAGCTGTACTGGCAGGGGCTCCTCTGAGGGGGTGTAGGACTTGAGCTGCAGCAGCTCCTGCTGCCGCTGACTCTTCTCGAGTTCCACGATGCTGATCTTTAAATGAAGAGGAAAACAAAAATTAAAGACTCCACTTAATAATTCTATTGTTAAGTGTATTAATTATATTATTCTATTATTAAGTGTATAAATTAATCGTTATATTATTAATAATAACTAATAATAATACTTCTGTTATATACTTTTCTTTGCTTAGCATCTTAATACAATAGAACCAATCTATACCAATCTGTATTAAGTGTATGAATTCCATCATTCTATCAAAACTCCACATTATGGAGTTTTGCTTCTAAATTCTTTTAAGTAAAAGTGTCTCTGCTTCTGGGAATAATGCAGAACAAGGGACCTCAATATTTGAGAGAAAATTTCTGCTCTGAGCTTAAGACCAAAAGGCCCAGGTGAGGGGAGTGGTTCAGAAACCCTGAGAAAGAATATTTGAGATCTTAAAAACAAAAGGAAAATATCTCCAACTTACAGTGAGACTGTGGAGTACATCAGTACTGCACAGTCACTCCATGCCAAGGCATCCAGCAAAAGGCTGGAAAAGCTCTGGAGCCAATCTCACAGGGAAAGAAAAGCTCTTCACACAAAGGAGTTCAATTCCTTGTCACTATGAGAAATGTCACCCAGGGGGAAATGATTCCCACCCTATCCCTGGAAGTATTAAGGCCAGGTTGGATGGGGCTTGGAGGAACCTGGAATGGTGGAAGCTGTCCCTGCCCATGGCAGGGGTGGAATGAGATAAGCTTTAAGGTCTCTTCCAACCCAAACCAGTCTGGGATTCTATGATTCCTGAATTGAGACATCAGAGCACACATGAAAATCATCAGCTTGTGATTTTTAATTCTATGTAATGATAAACCATGATTCCTCCTTCCACAGCATCACCAAGGAATCAGGTCATGGTATTTATTTATCATGGCATTACTGCTTTTACAAGTTATCCACATCCTTATTTACTAAAATAGAAAGTTCAATCTCTGGGGGAATAAAAAAAGAATAAACAAAAAAGCAACACCTGGCTCATCCTTTCCCATCATATTTAGTGTAATATCCATAACTGCCACATTGCCCAAGAGCTACCCCAAACTGGTCACTCTGCATTTGTTTCTTGCTCTCTACCTGCAGTTCCAAACAGTGCTTTTGCTTCTCAGAAATCTGATTCTTCAAGGCCTGCTTCTCTTTCAGCAAGTTCTCCAGTGACAGCGTTGACCAATCCAGCTTCAGTTCCTCACAGCGAGCCTTCAGCTGCAGGGACACACAGGGACAGGGACAAAGAGGTCACAACAGGGACAGGGACAAAGAGCTCAGAACAGAGCTCTCACCCTGCACACCTGGCTCCCAGCTGAAAGCAGGAACTTTGCACTGAATGTACAAAAACCCCTTGACCACTGAGTCCTCCCAGTTTCATGCTAGGGAGTGTGGCACTTTCTAAAAGTGTTATCACCCACCCTCACTGCTTCCAAATCCAGATATTCCCCTCATCTACCTCCTGAGGAGGCTCAGCCTGGAGCAAAGGAGGCTCAGGGGGGACCTTGTGGCTCTGCACAGCTCCTGACAGGAGGGGAGAGCCCAGGGGTCGGGCTCTGCTCCAGGGAACAGGGACAGGAGCAGAGGGAATGGCCTCAGGCTGGGCCAGGGGAGCTTTAGATGGGTGAAATTTCCTCACTGAAGGGTGGTCAAACATTGGCACAGATGAGTCCCCACCCCTGGCAGCGTTCAAACAAGTGGCAGTGACACTTGAGGATGCTTGAGTGGTGTCTTGGTGATCATGGTGGTGCTGCTGCTTGATGGTTGGACTCCAAGACCTTACAGGTCTTTTCCCACATTACCAGCTCCATGATTCTCTCAGTTTGAGTTACCAAGATGAGCACCACAGAGCAAGCCCTCCACAGCCAGACCCAGACCCAGTGACATCCAGAGCTGTTTGGGGACACAGCTGAGCCAACTGCCAGTTCAGGATCTGCTATGGGGTCAATCAAAGGTAAAAAAGGACTCCTGCAGGTTTCCCCCCATCATCCCTGAGCAGCAGGGTGATGTTTCACCCCCAGCTGGTGCCCTGTCCTCAAACCAAGCGCAGCATCCCCTGGACCTACCAGCTGCAAGCTCTGGTTCCTGAGTTCACTGTTGTCCTTCTCCAGCTGTTTTGTCTGTTCTTTCAGCTGCTGGTTGTGAGCAGAGATTTCCTTCTGAGCCTGGATCAGGTCGTTGTACGTCAGAGCTTTAACTCCCAGCTAAAAGGTGAAGGGTGAGATCAGTCAAAGGGGTCCTGACACTCTCAGACACCCTCATTCCTGGGGATCTGGCACCCTCATTCCTGGGGTCCTGGCACCCTCATTCCTGGAGTCCTGACACCCTCATTCCTGGGGTCCTGACACCCTCATTCCTGGGGTCCTGACACCCTCATTCCTGGGGTCCTGGCACCCTCATTCCAGGTGTTTGTCCCATTCCCAAGTGACACTGAGGAGATCTGCAGAACTCTAAGCTCTCAGGACCTCCCCCAGCATTCCCAAGGCACTTTGTGGCTGCTGGGGGATAACAAGGAGGAACACAAGGACCTTGGAGCTGCTGTTCCACCCCTTCAACTGCAAAACTGGCATTTAGGTTTTGCCAGCCAACAGAACTGTCTGTGGACAGTTCCCACATTTCCCTTCTGTGCTCCTGAGCTAGGTTGGCAGCACAGAGTTTGTTTGAGCAGCAGAGGGTAAATCCTTCACCAAACACCACCTGGCTGTGAGTTGTTCCCTTCCTTGGGCACCAAGCACACAATTCCAACAACAAATACAAAACATCACCAGAGAGTGACACACATTGCACCTTTCTGAGCCTGATCTGCTGCAAAACAGGGGCTGAAGAGCTGACAGTGCTCTGGCCTCACTTAGCTGGACCAGAAATGTTTGCAAGCAGCTGATTCAGAAACATCCCCCCAGCACAGAGTTTGTTTGAGCAGCAGAGGGTGAATCCTCCACCTAACACCACCTGGCTGTGGGTTGTCCCCTTCCTTGGGCACCAAGCACACAACAATTCCAACAACAAACACAAAACATCACCAACACATCACACATTGCACCTTTCTGAGCCTGATCTGCTGCAAAGCGGATCTGAAGAGTTGAGACTGCTCTGCTCTCACTTAGCTTGACCAGAAATGTTTGCATGCAGCTAATTTAGAAACATCCCCCCAGCACAGAGGTACCTCATCGAGCTTCTGCTGGAACAGGCGTTTGATTTCCTCCTTCTGGGCCTGGCAGTGGGTGAACAACTGCTGGGCTGTCCCCAGCAGCTGAGCATTCTTCTCCTGGAACAGGGCAAAAACACACTTTTATGTGGCTGCAGCATGGGCCATCTCAAGGAGATTTGTGGAGCACTTCAGGAGAGAACCTGGATTCAGGAGAGCTCACCCAGCCCTGCCCCAGGCTCCTGAGAACTTGGATTTGTTGGGTGTGATACTGGTGGAGTTAAATCAGCTGTAAAGCGCTTTTAAGTAGTAAATTTCTGAATAAATTGAAGTAGGTTTTAAGTAGTAAAGAGTTTTTAAGCAGTGAATTTCTGACTAAATTTAAGCAGGTTTTTCCTCCTCTATGGTAAAATACAATCAAGACAGTCTTAGAAACTCATTTTTATCCTCCTAGTGCATCGTGAAGCAGCAGCAATAATCACATCCCACAGAGCAGAAATAGAACTGGAAAAGATTATCTGCATGAAATCTGCTCCCAAACAGGGAACTGGTTCTAAATCCCCAGAGCCCCAGCTCAGAGTTTCCCTGTGCAATACTCATGGAAGAGATGCAGTAAATAAAAATACACTGGGGGGAGGCAGGAGCAAAGTCCTAAATAAGCCAAACCAGTTTTCCTACTTGTGCCACCATTATTATATATTATATACTTACATATTATATATTATATATACATTTATATATAAAATATTTTATTTATATATATACATACACACACACATTTATTTATTATATATTATATATTATATATCATATATTATATAGTATATAATATATAGTATATAGTATATATTAAATAGCATATAGTATATATATATTACATTACATTGTATTACATTAATTATATTATATTGTATTACATTGTATTACATTATATTATATTATATTATATTATATTATATTATATTATTTACATTTGATATATAATATTATATATTATGTTATATAGTATATATTGTATATTATATAATATATATAATATATTATATATTATTATAGACTTTTATATTATATAGTCATGCCACCATTATTTCAGCAGGTCACCTGAACCACTCAAAGCAATTCCCAGCCCTGAACATTCCCTAACCAGGTCCCTGCTCCAATCCATGGCCATGCACAGCAAAGGGCAGGACAGGACTGGCTGAAAAGCCTCATTTACCCAGCCCCAAATGCAGGATTAGTGCAGAAAGCCCAGGGAGCTTTGGGATTATCCTGTTCTCCACCTTGTGCTGCAGAGGCCAAGCAGGGATTGCACAGACTCAGCCACTGCTCCAGGAAAAGTGGGGAACAAGGGCAAAAAGCACCTTTGATCCTTTCCAACCTTAATAATTCCATGGCTGATCTTCCAAGCGGTGCTGGAAATTTGCAACATGCAGGAACACACAGATCTGGCTGGGGAAGTGTCCCTGCAATGCTAAAGGGGCTGCTCTGGGGGATGCTGGAAAATCAGTTTTGTTTTCAACACCAGGCATTTCATTCAGCCTTCCCAGGCACTGCAGGGGCACAGCTCCATCTAAGGGCACTCTGGGAAGCAGCAGCTGATTTCAAAATCATCATTACAGAGATTTTTATTGTACTTGAAAACCTTCCTGTAAGAAGGAGTTACTGAACAGACCATACCCAGTCCCTCACCCAGCCAAGTTCTCCCTCTGGCAGGTTTAATTTGCCATGTAACACTCCATAAAAAAATATTTTCATACTGAATTCCTCGTTTGAACATTTAGAAGTGTGGAGCAGCTGTTGGACACCAGCACAGAGTGATGATTTTGCCACACCCCTGATTCATTCTCTGTGCAGGGCACAACCCTTGCTCACCATCATTTCATTTGTGCAGGAGACAAGTTCACTTCATGCTGACTTTCCTGACAAGTGCAGAACAAGCAGAAAAATCTGCTGCATAAGGAAAAAGATGAAAGTTCTGAGTGCTGATTGACTGTGAAAGCAAATGGAAATAACCACAGAAAAAGAGGTTTCCATGAACACCAGAGCAGCACCAACCACTTCTCAGTAAGGAATGGGGTGGCAAAAGTTAATTTCTTTCCTCTGGAGAGTTCCCAGTGTGGAAAACACGATATAAAAGCCCTGTGGCTTTTTTCTGACACTCTCACAAAGACTACAGAGTAAGGAAAGCTTCCACAGAGAATGCCAAAAGCTGGACCTGGACAGAATTCCAGACTGGTTTGGGTTGGGAGGGACCTCAGAGCCCATCCAGTGCCACCCCTGCCATGGCAGGGACACCTCCCACTGTCCCAGGCTGCTCCCAGCCCTGTCCAGCCTGGCCTTGGGCACTGCCAGGGATCCAGGGGCAGCCCCAGCTGCTCTGGGAAATCCATTCCAGGGATGGATTCCACAATTCCCGATTCCCAATCTCCCACCCAGCCCTGCCCTGTGGCAGTGGGAGCCATTCCCTGTGTCCTGTCCCTGCAGGCCTTGTCCCCAGTCCCTCTGCAGCTCTCCTGGAGCCCCTTCGGGCCCTGCAAGGTTTTTCAAGTTTAATTCTGAGCATTATGGGGAAAGTTCCTCCACAGAAGCAGCAGAACAGACCCATCAGGGCTAATTGATAAGCAATGAAATCATTCATCACTGAGACAAAACAACACAAGGAGGAGCTCAGGCAGGAGATCTCCTCCCTCTGCTGGTGGCTCCACGGCAGACAAACACCCCTGTGCACAGCTCCAGGACCCTCCTGGCCTTTCCACATTTACCAGTCCATGATTTGGGACATTTACCCTTTGCCCATCAGTGCAATCCAACCCGTTGTGGTATCAATGCCAAGGATGCAGTGCTAAATCCCCACAACCAGTGATGAAACTTTGGGTTTCTTAATCCAAGTTCAATGGTTTCCTAATCCATAATTCTATGAACTGTGGTTCATAAAATCCTGGAATTGGTTTGGGTTGGGAGAGACCATCCCTGGCAGTGCCCAAGGCCAGGCTGGGCAGGGCTTGGAGCAGCCTGGGACAGTGGAAGGTGCCATGGCAGGGGTGGCACTGGATGGGCTCTGAGGTTTCTCCCAACCCAAACCATTCCAGGATTCTCTGATTCTAAGTCAGCATTGACAGGGAAAAGGGGAGGTGCAGCTCTCTCATTAAACAGACAAAAAATGAGTTTAGCAACAAAATCCCCTGGGAGTTGTTCATCCTAAGCCAGACTGGTGTAAATACACACAATTCCCATCCCCAGCACTCTAACCCACATCCAAGGAACTTCAGAGTCTGGTAATTTGGTTTAGAAATGTGAAAAAGTCAGACCCACCTTTTCCTGCTCCAGTAACTGTTGCAGACTTGCTTTGTACTGAGGAGTTTTCATGTATGCCATGAACTGCATGTACTGGATCTTAAATGAGTCTGCAAAATAAATCAGATGAGGCATTTCAGACGGATATTTTGATTTTGATTTGAACTCAAAGTCAGAGTAAGCCACTGAGGGTGGAAATAAAAAAATTAATAAAAATAAATAGATAAAATAAAAATAAATCAGATGAGGAATTTCAGCAGGTAAATACCATGTCCCTGTTTACCCCCACTTCCTCCCTGGTCACCTCTCCTCACTTCTCTGTCCCTTGCTTTTGATTTGGACTCAAACCAAGCCATTAAAAATGGAAATAAAATAATAAATAAAAAAGACTTAGATATAATAATTATATAATTATATATATATATATAAATAGATAAAATAAAAATAAATCAGATGAGGAATTTCAGCAGGGTAAATGCCATGCCCCTGATTGTTCCTATTTCCCCTCTGGCCACCTCTCCTCAGTTGTCCCTCACTTGCTTTTGCTTTGGACTCTAAGTAAGACTAACCCATTAAAAATAGAAATAGAATAATAAATAAAAATACGTATATAAAATAAAAATAAATCAGATGAGGAATTTCAGCAGGGGTAAATGCCATGCACCTGTGTTCCCCCATTTCCCCCCTGGCCACCTCTCCTTGCTTTTCTGTCTCTTGATTCCAATTTGGACTCAAAGTCAGATTAAGCCATTAAAAATGGAAATAAATAATAACAAAAATAAGTAGATAAAATAAAAATAAATCAGATGAGGAATTCCAGCAAGGTAAATACCCTGTCTCTGTTTGCCCCCATTTCCCCTCTGGCCACCTCTCCTTATGTGTCTCTCCCTTGTATTTGAAATGGACTCAAAGTCACACTAAGCCATTAAAAATGGAAATAAATCAATAAATAAATAAATAAAAATAGATTAAAAAAAATAAATCAGATGAGGAATTTCAGCAGGGGTAAATGTCATGTCCCTGTTTGTCCCTATTCCCCCCCTGGCCATCTCTCCTCACTTTTCTGTCCCTTGCTTTCAATTTGGACTCAAAGTAAGACTAAGCCATTAAAAATGGAAATAAATCAATAAATAAATGAAAATAGATAAAATAAAAATAAATCAGATAAGAAATTTAAGCAGGGTTAATGCCATGCCCCTGTCTGACCAATTTCCTCCCTGGTCATCTCTCCTCACTCGTCTTTCCTTTGCTTCAGATTTGGACTCAAGATCAGACCAAACCATTAAAAATGGAAATAAAGTATAAATAAAAATAAATAGAAAAAAAATTAAATAAAACAGATGAAGAATTTCAGCAGGGTAAATGCCATGCCCCTGTTCACCCCTATTTCCCCCCCCTGGCCACCTCTCCTCACTTGTCTGTCTCTTGCTTTTGATTTGGGCTCTAAGTCAGACTAAGCCACTGAAGATGGATTTAGGAACAGGCTGGAAATTCCTCTCCTGGCACAAAAGGAGCTCTTGGATCCATCAGGTCCCATGGAAACCATGACCCCATCCACCCTGCCTCAAAACATTCCACAAAATCACTCTTTTGCCACAAAACATCCCTCAAAATAATTTTTGACACAAAATATCCCTGAAAAATCTCTTTGGCCACAAAATATCCCTCAAAATCACTTTTGTCACAAAATACTCCTTCAAAAAAAAAAAAAAAAAAAAAAACAACAAACCAGTCCTTTGCCACAAATTATCCCACAAAACATCCCTCAAAAATTACTATTTGCCACAAAATAACCCTTCAAAAATCACTCTTTGGCCAAAAAACATCCCTCAAAACAAACCACTCTTTTGCTACAAAATATCCCAAAAAATATCCCTCAAAAAAAGAAATCACTCTTTTTGCCACAAAATATCCCTCAAAAATCACTCTTTGGCCATGAAATATCCCTCAAAATCACTCTTTTGCCTCAAAAAAATCACACTTTCGTCACAAAATATCCATAAAATATCCCTCCAAAAATGACTTTTGCCACAAAATAACTTTAAAAAATCACTTTTCCCACAAAATATCCCTCAAAATCACTCTTTTGCCACAAAACATCCCTTTAAATCATTCTTTTTCTCTCTCTTGCACCAGGAATCAGCCATGACTGGCACAAACTCAGGAGAGCCCAAGGTAAGGACACCTCTGGTACCCTCGGTCCCCCTGTGCCACATCCCAGAGCATCCTGGGCTGGCTCCTGGTAATGCCAAAATCCAGAAACAGCTGGGAGGGGTCAGGCAGAGAAGATAAAACCAAAAAAACCTCCAGGTTTTTCTTTAATCACCTCCTGCATTTTCCAACCACACCTTTGTGAGCTCAGCCTCTCAGGCAGGGCCTCATTTATGGGCCCTGAGCTCAGCAGAGGAATGGGAGTGGTGTCACCAGGATATTTTATGAAAAATCCCTTTGCAAGGATTTTTCAGCTGAGAAGCTTCAGCTTCTCCAGGTTTTGTTCCTCTAGAATATAAATGGAAACTGTTTATCCAAAAATATGAATTGTTTTTAATTAATGGCTAATCACAGCTAGCTGTGTCAGACTCTCTGTCACAGGTTTTTATTATTCTTCTTGTCTAGTTTTCTGATATTTCCTTTCTCTTTCTTTAGTATAGTTTTAATATAAGATTTTCATAATATATTATGTCATATCATATGCGATATTATATGATATAGTATAATATAGTATACTATAATATAGTATAATATATTATTATATTGTATTATATTAATATACTAATATATTAACTATTATACTATACATTATAATATACTATACTATAACATACTATACTGTAATATACTATACTGCAATATACTAAAATATAATATAATATAACATAATATAATATAATATAATATAATATTATATTATATTATATTATATTATATTATATTATACTATAATTACTATATATAATATATATTATACTTTATATTATATTATATTATATTACATTACATTATATAGTATAATATTGTATAGTATAATAAAATGTAATGTGTTGTGATGTGATATAATGTGATATAATATAATTCATATTATATATAATTGATAAAATATATATACCATATCATATAATATCATATAAGATCAAAAAATAACAAAATCGACTTTCTGAAAGCTTAAAATTAATTCTCATTTTTCACCTCATCTTGAAAACCCTCACAAATCCACAACAGAGTGCTGTTCCCCAGGATTAAGAGAATGGTTTCATTTCAAATAAAGCTGTTTCTGACTAAATCCAGGCTCACTGCCTGTCGTGCCAAAGGAGAGCTGAAGCAACATCAGAGAATAAATGTAGAGTGAAACACCAACTTCAGCAGGAGTGGGGGACTTGTGGTGCTGCCCAAGGATGTTGAACTCAGAACTCAGGTTCTGAATTGTTGCTGCAAAGGCTCTTGAGGTATCAAAAGTCTTTTTTCTTAGCTTCAAACTCAAAGAAGAAGTTTGGATTCTTCAGCTCTGTTTTTCAAGGCTGTTTATTTTTTTTTTAACTAATAACTTCTTTCTCTCACCTGCTGAGATCTGTCCAGCAGGTCGGGTTGTGGCACACTGACCACCCTTGGGGTGGTGTTGGCTTTTTATACCACAAACTAAGTGTACTTTATTAACAATAATTTTCCAATACCTATCACCTATGTTAGACAGTCTCTCTCCACTCTAAACCAACCCAGAAGTGCCACCATCACAGCAGAGGATGGAGGACAAGAAGAAGAAGGAGAAAGAAGGACATGTCCAGATTCTTCTATCTTGCTTCTTGAACCCCTATTCTAAAACCCCAAAATTCTACCTTTCCACCCTGTGGTAAATTCACTATCATTCTATTTAAACCCTTGTGGCTTGTAACTCTTCACACAAAGTTGGGAATTGTTTCCATGGGCTAAAATCAAAGGCACAGGTGTCTCTGACTCCGTGCCAAGGTCTCTGAGCCCCCTGCCAAAGTCTGTAGTGTTCCAGGGCAGCCAGAGGAATGTCCTGGGTTCTGACAGATGTGGGGCAGGCAGGGGAAGGTGGGGAAGAGAGAATCCCCCTCCTACCCCATAAAAAACCCCAAAGAGGGGTGGGCAGGCCTTACCTAGCAGCTTCTGTAGTGCAGGGGGGGTGGGTGTCACCAGGAGCTGGTTGGACGAATGCCGTTGCACTTTAGGAGGTAGTTGGAAAAATGGGCTATGAGGTGACTTGTAGGCATCTGGAGAGACACAAACACAACCTCAGGTCAGCACCCAGTGTTTAGGACAAGGACAGGAGCTTTGCCACTGAAAACATGGCACAGAATCCTGAAAACATGGCACAGAATCCTGGCATTGGTTTGGGCTGGGAAGGACCATCCCTGGCAGTGTCCAAGGCTGGCTTGGACAGGGCTGGAGCAGCCTGGGGTGGTGGAAGGTGTCCCTGCCTGGCAGGGGTGGCACTGGATGGGCTTTGAGGTCTCTTTAAAGCCAAACCAACCCAGGATTCTGTGATTCTAAGTCAGCATTGCCAGGTGTGGCACAAAGGGGGATTTGTAATGAGATCCAGGAGCTTAGTTCACCAACACAAGAGCTCCAAACACATCAACACACTGCTCTAAAGTGCTGGGAAGGGTCTCTGTGATCCATCACCAGCTCAGGGAAGGCAACAGCCCCAGCTCCTGGCTGAGTACACACAGACACATCCCACCCCCAGCCCCATCGATGCATTAATCACCATCCATCACCATTAATCCCACCCCCAAACCATCAGTACACGAATTTCATCACCATTAACACATTAATCACCATCAATTCATTAATCCCACCCACATGCATCACCATCAATCCCACCACCACCTCCTAAAGGACAGCTCTGATCTGGTGACAACATGGAATTCATGCCACAAAATCCAACTCAAACTGGCCACAAAGGAAAAACCAGAACATCCAGAGCTTCAGAGACTCATCCAGGCTCTTGCACACCCCTGCACTCACCCTGAGGAGAGGATGAAGATGTCTGGGAGACAGTCTGAGCATGCAGAATTTCTAGTGCAGTTTGGTTCTTCTTGGTCTTGCGCTCAGTGCTCGCCGTGTTCATTTTCTTGGGGCGCCCTCGTTTCCTCCCTGCCATTTTCCTGCCCTTCTTGCTCAGCTTCTTCTTCCTGGCCTTGGAGGGAGATGGCTTTTTAACAGAATTTGCTGCAGCTTTTTCTTCTTCAGCACCAGAATCCTGAGGGGTTTTGAAAAATTTTGGTCATTTCTACCTCAAAATGCAACATTCCTTATCAGCAAACATTCATAATGGTGTTTTATTTTTATCAATGAAACACATTTCTGATATAATATAGATATGATATATCATATCAGAAAAATGGTGTTTCATTATTATTAATGAAATCTATTTCTGATATGATATATAAATATATATATATGATATATCATATCAGAAATAATGGCGTTCCATTATTATTGAAATATATTTCTGATATTATATATATAAACATTATATTTATATATAAATGTTTATATATAATGGTGTTTCTTGATTATATATATATATATAATGAAGAAACACCATTATTTCTGTGTTTTATATATATAAGAGAAATAATGGTGTTTCTTCATTATTATTGAGATCTATTTCTGATACGATATATAAATGATATATCTTACCAGAAATAATGGTGTTTCATTATTATTATTGAAATATATTTCTGATATTATATATATATATATGATATATCAGAAATAATGTTTCTGAAAGGAAACTGATGCACTCTAGTTCATTAATTTGCCAGGGAAGTGGACTTGCTTAGGATAAGAGTTGTTCCCAAGGGATTGTGCTCATTCTCTTCTGGACTCATTCATTGAGGGAAATGGATTTGTAGAAAATTTTTAAATTTTCACAGTTTGTTACAGTTTGTGACAGTTAAATTATGACAATTCTTAAAGTTTGACAGAAGGCTTACACAGTGTGTATCTCTATGTAAATTTTGACATAAGAAATACTGACTTAGAAATGCCATGGAACAGGACAGACATTTTTGAGAGAGAAATGGAACTAGAAACAAGTTTTAAAAGGTAACTTTACAAAAAAAGACTAAATACTAAAGAGAAATTAAACTATGAAAGATGCATTGTAGTGGGACCCACAAGGGGTTATTTTAGATGATTGGCTTTAAGGCATTTACAGCATAAGCAGCCAAAACTGATAAGCTAAGAGATGCTTAAAATGCATTGTAATTAGGAAATAGTTGGCTTCTGATTGTGATGGTGTGAATTATAACATCTGTATTGTCTCACCTTTCTCATGAGACTAAAAATAGAATAAAAGTTTTTAAAGCACCTCTCAGTTACCCCATCTCTAAGTCAGAAAAAAGTCTAACCCAACAATTCATTAAAGAAAAGGAAATGCTGAGGGAGGAGAACTTCAGGCAGGGCTGGATGGGATCTTGGGAATCAGGAATTGTTCCCTGGCAGGGTGGGCAGGCCCTGGCACAGGGTGCCCAGAGCAGCTGGGGCAGCCCTGGATCCCTGGCAGTGCCCAAGGCCAGGCTGGGCAGGGCTGGAGCAGCCTGGGACAGTGGGAGGTGTCCCTGCCATGGCAGGGGTGGCACTGGATGGGCTTTGAGGTCCCTTCCAGCCAAACCCTTCTGTGATTCTGTTAAATCTGTACCTGCTGTCTAACAAAATCTGATTATTCATCCTTCCCTGACTACATTCCTCAACTGAATTTCACTCAAAACTCAGAGCACAATCAATACTTTATATTTTTGGCCATGAACAGGCAGTGCCTTTCTCACAGTATTACCCAAGAAAGGAAATGAGTGTTTGCAGAAGACTCAGCACTCTTTGAGCTCCATTCAGTGGGCTGTGACTCAGGGACAGCTCTGCAAACTCCTGCTGGATGCAAGCGAGGGTGGACAACCAACTATTCATCTTGCAACACCTTTTTTTTTTTATCCTTCCAGAATTAGTGGTACAACTCCCAAGAGCAGCTTTTATTAACTCACTCCATCATATTTTTGGGCACAGCAACAGCTCCAGAGTAAAACCTTCCCCCAGAGGCTCCTCCTGACTCAGCCACAGGAACCCCTCAGCACCCACAAATGCAGGATGCTCACCTTGTTTTCTTGGACCTTCGTTGGAGTCGTTGTGTTGCTTTTGTTTTCTCTTTGTTGACGACGTCTAGCTGCCTCTTGTTCCTCCTGGGGACAAGGGAGGGGACATTTCACCATTTGTTTATGTGTTTATCACTTTTTAATGCAAATCTTCTTCTTTCCCAGCTTCATTTTCCACAAGAAAAGGGAACAAACTTCCCCTTTGCCTCAGGCCACACTCAGGTGTGAACAAATCCTTTTCCACCTACAGTGGGGATTAAATCTCAACTCTTCCAATATTCTCCCCTCCCAGCCCCATAGTGCTGTATCAGGTTTCATATTTATTATTATTATTACTATTATTATTATCATTGTTGTTAACAAATAACATATTAACATTATATTATTGCTATATTATTATTCTATTAAAAGTGTTAATATTATTATTATGAGTGTTGTTATTGTTATTTTTGTTGTTATTATTTCATATATATAATATAAATAATATGGTAAAAAATATATTACAATATAGTATATACACATGATTTTCATTAAACAACAATATCAATTATAATAGCAATAATAGTAATAATAGTAATAATTGTAATAACACATATAATAACAATAAAAATAGGATTAAAATACTATTATATCAATAATATATTAATATTAATAGTGTTAGTATTATTAATGTTAGTGTTGATGTTGTTATTACTATTATTTAATATATATCATCTGTAAATAATATGGTAAAATATATATAGAAATATAGTATATATACATGATTATTATTAAATAACAATAATAATAATAATATTAATGATACTAATACTAATAACACTAACAATAATAACAAAAACTATAATAATAAGTAATACATAGATATAATTAATAATGATAATGATAATAGTAATAATAATAAATAATATTGTGCACTTTAATAGCTTCCCACATCCCCAACATTTCATGGTGACACATTAAAAATCTTGCACAACTGGAAATGGCAAAGCCATTAATCATCATCTCATTCAACTTCAGCCAAGTTTATTGAGGTGACTAATATGAAACAAAACCAGCAACTTTTCAGGCTGATTTTCTCCCAGGCTGACAGGAAATTTCCTTGTTCAGAGAAAAATCTCTTTTTCTCTCAGAAAAAAAAAAAAAACTTCTTTTAGACAGGAAATTTCCAAGGGCTCAGTCAAAGCCTTTCCTGCACCTTCCAGAGGTTTAATCTGCTTAAGATTTCCGGTATTTCCAACACTCCTTTGATTTAGGCACATTATCAACCAAAACAGTGGCAGATTTAAGTGTGAAAAGGAGGGAAGGTGAGAAGTACCCTGATTTTTATTTTATTTTCTCTAAGAAGTCTTTTTTGCCCCAAATTTGAGTGGAGCAATCTGAAACAATTCCCTTTCAGAGCCCCCATGAGTCTGTTCTTAACAGAGCCAGTCAGCCTGAGGATGAACATTCACCTGAAATTTTAAATTAAGTGGCCTCACTTAATTCTCTTCTTGGGAATCCATTGATTATTTCAGGTTAACCCAGCCCTGCACAGCCCCAAAAACTCTCTGGCATTTTAATTCCACGTGAAACAGCCCAGACTGCAGCAAATGACAACTCACTCTGTGCCTCCAATGGCACATCCCAAAAGGAACATTTCAGAGCATTGCTCAGCTTCATTTCAGGAGCTGAGCTCTGGGACAGATTCAAACCATCATTCCCTCCTTTAATTCCAGTTCTTTAATGAAGAAATAGCTCATTACAGACCTCCAGTGCAAGGTAAAAGCACCTTGGGGCTGCCCCATTAATTCTCTATTAGAAATCCCTTGGACATGATTGAATTAGAGCTTGATGGCATCTGAGACTTCCCTTCAATTAGCTCCATGTTCTTTGCCTAGCAAGAAAATCTGATTTCCAATCAATTCTGTCCACCTGTGATTAAATTCCTCACAGTGGCTGCTCCTTTAACTCTGAGTTTTCTACAGAAAATGATTGAAACTTACTTACCCTGAGTTTTGGATTTTTGAGACTAGAAAAATAGTTTTCAAGCTGAAAATAGAAAGAGAAGAGAGTCATCCTCAAAACCATGACAGATGAACACAGAAGAATAAAATATTAGCTTAAAACAAGTGCAGAACTGCAGAAATTGTGACTGCTTTGCTTTGATAAGCTCCATCAAGAAGCCATTTACATTCATTCTTTTCAGGCACCCAGCCTGTTGTGTAACAGGGCATAATCCAACCTCTACAAGGTTTTATCATCCCCACCACTCCTGGCCTTGTTTTGGAGCTTTGTGTCACATATCTCCCCTCAGCACAGGCTGATTTTCAATGAAATTATTTGCACTGAAGCTGCTGCACCCTCATACTCCACCATTTATCTGCGCTCTGGCACATTCCTGAACAAAAGCTTTATTAGACTACAGCAGAGAGAGGAAAACAGCATTATTATCCCACTGCAAAAACCTTGGGGTGGGATAAATTATTTGGATAAAAATTTCCTCCACAAAATTTTCGATTTTCAAAGGGTTTGTTGGGTTTTATGAGGGGCTTGGGGGCTCTTTGGTGGGGGGGTTGGTGGTTTTTTGGTGGGGGCTGTTGCATGGGTTATTTATTGTTGTTATTTATTTATTCTATTGTTGTTATTTGGTTTGTTGGGGTTTTTTGTTTACTTTAATTAAAAAAAAACAGTGAATGCATCATTGTTATGGAGCTTGGGCTGCTTCTACAGCAGCTGAGAATTTTACTAAAATTGAGATTTAGTGGTTGAATATGACCGGATTAAATGATCTGTGCACTACAGAGGAATCAAAGCCCCACTGAGTCCTCTGTGAGGAAAGGACAGCAGCAGAGCCCAATTCTGAGCAGCTGCAGAAGGAATTTTATCAATGAATCTCTGCAGCTTCAGTAAACCAGCAGTGCCCTCAACCCCAGGGTGGGGATGCAACCCTTGAGCAGGCAGTTTGCACACTCAGGTGTGTAACCCACAAAGGGACAGGAACACAAGCCCAGGCAAAGGATGTGGAGCTGAAAGTGCTGCCAGGAGCAGGGCACAGGCAGCCCTGGTACTCACTATGGTTCTGTCAATGGTGTGCAGGTAGTAGGAGACTGGCTTCCCTGTCCAGGACACAGAGCCCTTCAGTGGTGACAGCTCCACAACCCTCATGATAGTGCCAATATCTGTGGGAGGAGACAGCAGCTGGTTAGGGGACACAGTGACAATTTTGGGTACTCAGAGCAGCTCAGCACCCCAATTTTTCCCTCAAAATTTCACTCAAAACTCAGAGCACAATCAATACCTTCTATTTTTGGCCGTGAACAGGCAGTGCATTTCTCACAGCATTACCCAAGATGATGTGGGTGCTGCCCAGTATCCCCACAGGGGGATGAACCTCCTTTGCCAAAGCTCCCAGGGCAGCTCAGCACCCCAATTTTGCCCTGCACAGATGATGTGGCTGCTGCACAGTATCCCCACAGTGGGATGAACCTGCTTTGCCACAGCCCCCAGAGCAGCTCAGCACCCCAATTTTGCCCTCAAAATTTCACTTAAAACTCAGAGCACAATCAGTACTTTATATTTTTGGCCATGAACAGGCAGTGCATTTCTCACAGCATTACCCAAGATGATGTGGGTGCTGCCCAGTATCCCCACACAGGGATGAACCTCCTTTGCCCCAGCTCCCAGAGCAGCTCAGCACCCCAATTCCTCCCTGCACAGATGCTGTGGGTGTTGCACAGTATCCCCACAGTGGGAACAAACCTCCTTTGCCACTGCTCCCAGAGCAGCTCAGCACCCCAATTTTCCCTGCACAGATGATGTGGATGCTGCAGGATATCCCCACAGTGGGATGAACCTGCTCTGCCCCAGCTCCCAGAGCAGCTCAGCACCCCAATTCCTCCCTGCACAGATGCTGTGGGTGCTGCACAGCATCCCCCCAGTGGGATGAATGGGCCCCAAGCATCTCCATGGCTCCAGCTCCAGGTGCTGGCTCCGTGCCCAAAGCGGTGCCAAACCCAACCTTGGCCCCGCCACAGCCTCAGCCTCTGAGCAGAGGGGATGCTGCTGCAGGCTCCTGGCTGCTCCCAAAACAGTCCCAGAGGAAAAACACGTGAGGAGCACACGTGTGAGGAAGAGGAGGATTTGGGGGGGTGGATGGCACCCCGTTTGCCCTGGCCCCGGGCACTGGGGCGTCCGTCAGCGCACGGAGCCTGGGAATGGCGGTGCCTGAGTTGACTTTGGCATTTCCCAGCCCAGCCCCCAGGCCTGCAGGGGATCCAAGAGCCCCTTTCCCCCCTGGCACACCAGGCATCAGGGGCGACACCAGCCAGGCACCCACTGCACTATTAACATGCCCTCTGAACTGAGAGACACACAATTCTCTCTCCCAGGCTTTTTCCTGGAGAAGCACAGAGGGAAAACAATTCTCATCTCATTTACTGCTCCTGTTGTTTTTTGAACATGTAAATGTTTCAGAAGATCATTTACCTACAAAAATTTAATGATTAGATTCTAGTGGTAGTGTTTTATTTATTAATTAATTAGATCCACATATGTGTGTCAGGACTGTCAGCTGATAGTCACAAGCTTTCAATAGGAATTAAAACTTAGAAGTAAGTATTATATAGGAAATAAAATAAACTTAATAAAATATAATAAAATACAAGATATGATATTATATGATATTATATAAGAATTATAATTAATATATTATACTATGATATTATAAGATAAAATATAGCATAATAAAATGTAATCTAATATAATGTAATGCATTATGCTATAATATAAAATTATAATAATATAATGTAAAATAATATAATAAATATAATAGAATATTATAGAATATATTATAATAAATATGCTAGAATAGAATATAATAGAATGTTATAGAATAGAATATTATATGATATTATATTGGATATAATATGATATTAATTATATAATGTGATGTGATATGATATTAATCTCTTCATTATAGTATAATATAGTTTTAATAAAGCAAGTATTCAGCATTCCAAAGCCATGGACTCAGATGCCAATCATTTTCCTTTGTCAGGAGTGCCCTGATTTTACAATACCCAACACAGAGAAATCTGGTTTGCAGATCCTCCAGGAAAACACTGCTGGGAGTTTCAAGGGAATTCCTTCCTCTCTCCTACGTGCACCCCACAGGAAAGCAACATGTGGGACGTGTACCTTTGAGCCAGCCAGCCCAGAGTGAGTGAGTTCTGGCCAGCAGAACTGTGTCCCAGACTCTTCTCCAAGGAACACCACATGTGTGTGACAGGGATGAATTAAAGAGCCCCAGAACGTCACCAGCCCAGCCCCTGTCAGCTGCAGCTGCCCTATATTTGGACTGGGCACAAACATGTTTTGGGTTTGCTTTCTTGTCTATATTTGTTTTGTTCTTCTGAATTAATAGTTTGGGGATGTGCCTTAAACATTCCCACAAACACAGAGCCAGTGGCAGGGCTGCAGGAGAAATTATGGCACGTTTCTAATTAAACAAAAATGACCCAAAAGAGGCCAAAAGCAAAGTTTGGGATTCAGCAACCTCAACCACTATTTTAACCACATTTTAATAGTTGTTTTCATTGGTCCCAACTCTTTCCACATTTCCACTTCTTCCCACAGATGGAACTACTAAGGACAAAAGTGGAATTGAGAGAACTGGTTCCTCCTTCTTAAAGCTTGATCTTTCCCAGGGTTTTGTATAAATTATTTAAATGTTCATACTCCAGATCGGAGTATTTGACAGACAGGTGAGACGTGACTCAAGGCATGCTCAGGCACCAAAAAAAGCCTTAATGAATAAAAGTGTGATGGAAATCCCTGTGGGACATTCCCTGCTCCATGAGCAGGACCCTGGCCATGCTGGGGATGGCATTTCCCTGGAAGTGTCACTTGGAACAGGCCCCAGCACATCCCACACAAGCTCATTTGATGTTAGGATTTACCAACATACCATGGTCTTAGAAAGGGATTAAGCCCTAAAATTTACTCACACAATTCCCCCTCAAGATAATTTTTTTTTTCAGGCCTTTTATCTGAATCCCTGGAAGTTTCCTACCGGTGGAAGTTGTTGGCTCTCCTTTTGCTAGAGCCTCTCACCCATCCAAACTCCAATTAATCATCTCGATATAATTTTAACATCAGCATTTCCATTCAGCATGAAATAACAGCTGAGATCTGAGAGTTCAGCATTCTAGAAAACACTCCCAATGAATGCAGGCTGGGCTGGGAGCTGGGATGGGATAAAGGTCTGGCTCAATGGGCCCTGGCAGCGAGGGCAGCTCTGAGGTGAAACAGCAGCACAAGCTGCCGTCAGTCTCCCAAATGCAGCAGAGAGAGATGGGAATGGGAAAAATTCAGGGAAGAAAAAGTTTGAGAGGCCAAAGCCCTGTATTTTTGTGGGCAGGTCTAATTGAAACATCTCCAAGTGCAGTTTTGGGTTTCCTCAAGCTCTGGTGGGCTCTGCAAGGGGGTCCAAGCTTCACACAGGCTCTTTTTGCCTCATCAGCAAACTGACAGCCTGGTCCCAGCTCTCCCAGTTGTTCCAGGAGCATCATTCCACCCTTTTTCCCTTTTATTTTCAACTCCATGCCTCCAAAGAATTGGCAGTCCAGCACCCAAAGTTCAACAAGGTTCCAAACCACCAGAGGCCTCAGAAGAGAATTACAAACAGGGAATTAAAGTGCAGGTTTGGGTACCTGATGTGTGGTACATCCACAAGAATTCAAGCTTAAAAATAACTCCCAAGGGCTCAATTTACTTCATGACAGTCCAAAAATTACTGTTCTTCAAAAGCAGCTTAGGCCAAAATTAGACAGCACAGCTTGAGATTTGGAACTCAGTGAGTTGCACCCCACGTTTGCACAGGGAGGGAAAGAGGGGTTTTGATTTAAGGAAAATTTAGCACTGGACTAAATTTTATACAGTAAATACATGTAAAGCCCAGCTTGGACTGCTCTTCTGCTTGAGAAATTTAATTTAAAAACCTGAACTGGAAGGGACCCACAAAGAACATCAGTCCAATTTCTGCACAGACACCACAGGTTCAACAGTCAAAGTCTGAAAAGGTCAAACCCAACCACATGGAATGTCCCAAAACCTCCTTAAACTGCAGCTCATGTCCTTGCAGAGGACAAGGCTGCCAAACATTGAGTCTGGCCTGATCACAGGAGAAGGAAACCACGACCCTGTGCTGGCAATGAGCCAGACCCAGGGCCTGGGTGTGTCTGGGAGAGGTTTGTTTGCTCAAAGCACAGCACAGGAGAAGTTCAAAGCTGAACATTTCACACAATCCTGGAATGGTTTGGGTTGGGAGGGACCTCAAAGCCCATTCAGTGCCATGGCAGGGACACTTCAACCATCCCAGGCTGCTCCAACCCCATCCAGCCTGGCCTTGGGCACTGCCAGGGATCCAGGGGCAGCCCCAGCTGCTCTGGGAAATCCATTCCAGGGATGGATTCCACAATTCCTGATTCCCAATCTCCCACCCAGCCCTGCCCTGTGGCAGTGGGAGCCATTCCCTGTGTCCTGTCCCTGCAGGCCTTGTCCCCAGTCCCTCTGCAGCTCTCCTGGAGCCCCTTCAGGCCCCAGAAGGGGCTCTGAGGTGTCCCTGGAGCCTTCTCCTGTCCAGGTGAGCACCCCCAGCTCTGCCAGCCTGACTCCATGACCTCCAAGCCTTAGGAATCCTGCCTGGTGGGATTTACCTGCCTGGATTTAGGGTGTAGGGAACTCCCCTGTGAGTCAGGGCTGCTCTTTGTGGCTCAAGGAATGATTCACACCCTTGAACTCCTGATTTCTCTGCAGCTCAGGGACACATTGATGGAACCAACACCAAAACACAGCAGCACAAACCCCATCAAAAGTGTCTGCTCCTCTCTTTAAATTGATTTTAAATTGATTTTAAATTGTCCTCTCCTCTTTTTAAATTGATTTTAAGTACCTGTCACTTCATGTGCCCTACCAATCTAACAGTATTTTCTACTTAAACAACTCTAAAATGCAGTAACACCCCCCAGACATTTTCAGATAATGAACATCCACAACTGTAATGAACAATAAAAAGGGCAATCATACCACTCAAGTTTCGACTGTTAATTCTAAAATTTAGAGGTGCAAAAGGTTTTGAGGACACAATTCTCCCACCTGGAAAAAGAAGAAAAAACAAAAAGACAAAGAGCACAGTCAGCTCCATTATTTGTTCTAGAAGTAACTACTTATTAAATATAACCCAGTACAGAGCCCTAAAGAGCAATCCTATAAAACTGCCCCTGGTATAGCATTAAGAAATAAATAAATCCCTTAATTCTCATTCTGAGAGCTTAAAGAAAGCAAATCCATGAATCCTGCCAGGTGACACCTCAAGGATCATTTAAAATGACAGATTTGAAATACTTGGAAAAAAAAGAGCACGTTAATTCTCAGTGGCAATCTAAAGAAATTTCAATTATCTCCATCCTACTTGGGATCTTTCATACACAAACCCCAAAAGCCTTTTAATTTAGAGGCCACTAATCTTCATTTCATGGGTATTTGGGGTCATTCAGCAGAGCCTGAAGCACACTCTGGGAAGAGAAATCAGGTTTCATCATTGTAAAGGGTTCTTGAAACATCTCCACCTTCCCACTGCTCTCAAGCCACCATTAAACAAGTTTGAAAACAAAAAAACAATCCAGTTAAATTAAAGAAAACAGCTTAAGTTTGGGGGTTTTATGGTTTGCAGCAGAGCCCAAAAGTCCCATTATTTATTTCAGCACAAATCTGTGCCATGGGAAGCCACAGCTGCTTTGTTCACACCACATATTTTTCTTTTCAGAAATTGTTATTTCTGTCATTTCTGCCACAACCAAGTAAAATTGTTGCTTTTCCCAGTGGTTAGGAGCAAAGAAAAGACACCCAGGGCAATGGAGAGGCCAGGATGGGGTTAGGGGGTGTCCCCAGGCTCCAGTGAAGCTTCTCAGGAGCACCCAGTGGCACTGTGCAGGTTTTTATGGAATTGTGGAACCATTAGGGTTGGAAAAGACCATAAAAATCATCAAGTCCAACCATCAAAGTCCATCCCACTAAACCCTGTCCCCAGGTGCCACCTCCCCACAGGTTTGGAGCATTTTCAGGGTTGGGGACTCCAGCAGTTCCAAAATCAGGAGTTAACAGGCAGCTCTAAATGAGCCAGCTCTGAACAGGAGAAGTGAATTCTGTATGGAATTACAGACTGGCCTTCCAAAGCTGTGCCTCTGCAGCCAAGAATCATGGAATGGGTTGGGTTGGAAGGAGTTTAAAGCTCACCCAGTGCCACCCCTGCCATGGCAGGGACACCTTGCACTGTCCCAGGCTGCTCCAAGCCCTGCCCAGCCTGGCCTTGGGCACTGCCAGGGATCCAGGAAGTTTGGCCTTGGCTGTTGGGTGTTTTGTGGGCTCCCAAAAGAGGGAAGGATGGACCAGCAGCTCCTCCAACCCCAACCCTCCTGCAGTTTTCCCAGCAGAGGAGATGCTCCAAGGAGCCAGGCAGGAGTGGCAGACAAAAAGTGGGAAATAGAAATCCCACTGTGCTGCAGCCACGTAGCCCCAAGGCACAGAAGAAACCCCAAGGCCTGGCTTTGCCAGGTGTAACTGAGCCCCTCTCCCACCTCAACTCCCACAGGAATCAGAAAACAAGGAGGAAACATTTCCAGTTGGATTTACCTTCCTTCATGTTGGCAAAGCGCTCCTTCAGCTGGTGATCCACCTCGGGCCCGAAGGCAAAGTTATTCACAAAAATAACGCTGCAAAACAAGGATCCAGTTAAAAATCAGAGCCAGGAACACCCCACAAGGATCCCCAGCCACACCACAGCCACCTGGAGCCTTCCCAGCCACTCCTGCTGTGGACAAACCTGCTCGTCCCAAACTCTACAGCTCCTGTAACCCAAAACATGGAGAGCAACACTCAGCTCTTCATCCTGCTGCTTGTGGTGGGGATTAAAATCTTACAGCAAAATAGCAAAATGTACTTTAGAATCATGAAATTGTTTGGGTTGGAAGGGACCTTAAAGCCCATCCAGTGCCACCCCTGCCATGGCAAGGACACTTTCCACTGTGCTCCAAGCCCTGTCCAACCTGGCTTTGGACATTTCTAGGGATTTGGGGCTTCCACAGCTGCTCTGGACAATCTGTTTCTCTTCCAGCTCCAAATTCCCCATAATGCCAGAAAACAGTGACCTCTGAGCACATTTTCCCTGTCCTAAATCCAGCACTTCAGCCCTACCCCAACAGAGAAGTTACATCTTTGCTTCTGGGTTAAGAAATTCAATGAGGGGAGGGGTTGTTCCTGGAAAAAAGCAATCATATGGAAACAAAGAAATCTGCACAGAGGCAGAGTCCCACAAATTATAAAAGGGCTTGGGAAAGAACCAGAACATGCCACAGATTAAAAAATAGACACTCCTTTGGTTTAAAGGTCTAATCAGCCTGGCTTAATTGTCCCTGGTGCCCATTTGGTGCCCAGGCTGCAACAAGAGTCCTCAACACCTCTTGGAAGTGTTTGAGCTCCATGCTGAATGAACATGTATGGGCTTGGCATGGAGCTCAGGGCAAGTTCTTCCCCAGAGGGTGCTGGGCACTGCCCAGGCTGCCCAGGGAATGGTGCCAAGGCTGCCAGAGCTGCAGGAGCACTTGGACACAGAATTCACAGAATTCACACAATCACACAATTCCACAATCACTGGGCTGGAAGAGACCTCCAAGATCATCGAGTCCAACCCAGCCCCAACACCTCAACTGAACCCTGGCACCCAGTGCCACATCCAGGCTTTGTTAAACACACCCAGGGATGGTGACCCCACCACCTCCCTGGGCAGCCACTGCAGAACTTTATCACCCTTTCCATGAAAAACTGAAAGAATGATAAATTTTTACTAATATCCAACCTAATATCCTAATTAGGTTTTTCCTAATATCCTACCTATAGGATAGGATCTCACCAACTTCCTAATATCCAACCTATATTTTTTTCCTAATATCCAACCTGTATTTCCCCTGGTGCAGCTGAAGGCTGCGTGCCCTGGTTCTGTCAGCGCTGTTGCAGAAAGAGCCCAGCCCAGCTGAGCACAGGCACCTTTCAGGAGCTGCAGAGAGCGATGGGGGCACCCCTGAGTCTCCTTTTCTCCAGGCTGAGCACCCCCAGCTCCCTCAGCTGCTCCTCACAGGGTTTGTGTTCCCAGCCCCTCACTGACAGAGCCCTCAGGGGTGTCAGGGTGGGGTTGTTGGGGTGTCTGTGCAGGGACAGGGCTGGATTTGATCCCTGAGGGTTCCTCCCAGCTCAGGATACTCCAGAATTCTGTGAAAATTCTGTGAAGTGTAAAAGCCATCCTGGCCTATTGTTCCCACATGAAGAACTGATTTCTTTGCAGGAAAATTCCCTTCCCAGTGCCTCCACACATGAAATGTGTTCAACAAGAACACAGGGAGTTTAGAGCAGCACTCAAAGCTACTAAAAACCACGAATGAAAAAAATGTTTATGCACCAAGGGGAAAAAAGAAAGTTCTTCTTGCTACGCCTTGCTCTTGGAAATTTAGGAAACCCTGCCTGGCAAGTAAAGCTAGCAGGGATTTCTTCCTCCTCCTTCCCATGTGCCAAAAGAAAAAAAAGGCCTTGCAAAGGAGCCAAACATATTAATGGGACTAGAAAACATCCAGGAGAGGAAGGGGAAAGCCAGAGGCTGCAGATGTGTTTTTATAGTGCTCACTTTGGCACAGGATGCTGTGAGTGCGTGCGGGGCACAGGAACCCCCAATCCCCCTGGGCTCAGCCCTCATTCCAGGAGGCTTTGCCAAGCCCCAGCACAGGGATGCCCTGGAACACACAGGGAACCATGGCCTGCTAGCAGCCCCATCCCTGGAAGTGTCCAAGGCCAGACTGAGCAGGGCCTGAGGTGCAGGAAGCTGTCAGAGGTGGCACTGGATGGAATTTAAGCTCCCTTCCAACTCAAACCATTCCAGAATTCCCAGATCCTGCCCCAGAGCGAGGTGGAGCAGCACTGACACACACAGTGAGTGCCATGCCACACAAACCAAACATCTCCCAGCACTTCTGGGTGCAGCCAGAGCTCCTGCAGCCAAAAATTTCTCAAAAAAATTTCAATTAATTCCGAGGAAAGTTGCCCGGGCAGCAGAGGATTGTGCACTCGGAATAACAAGCAACAAAGCCAAACCCAAGTGTGCTGCAAGGCTGGGACAAGTCTGTCCACAAATTAAAAGGCACCTCCAGAAGAAAATGAGGGGCAGAATCCTGCAGGAGTCACCAGCCTGGCAGACGCCTGCTCCAGGCTCTCACAACCAGAGCTTTGGGAGAAATCCAGAAATTGCCACAACTCCCAAAGCTTTCAGAGCCCTCTTTGGCAACTGCCTTCCATTCCCCCACATAACAGGGTGGCCCAGAAGGTCATATAAAAAATAAAGAGGTTTTTTCTAGCCATAAGGCTGAAAGAATGCAAAGCTTTAAAAATACAGGCGACTTTTATTGCTTTTAACAAATTTACTCCCTTTCTTCTCTCAACCCTCTGCATTTAGTTCTCCACATAAATAAATCTTCAAGACAATTAGTTGAAATGAACTTACAATTTAAGTTGAAACAAACTCACTTGGGTCTTTTCCTTTTTATTAGAGGGAAAGTGAGCCTGTGTGCCCCAATAGCCAAGAGCAGGAGTTTTGCCAGAATCCCTGACATGAACTATAGGGATATGCAAAACAAATGGAGGTTTGTGCTCCTCTTATAAGCAGAATTTATCTTGGATACACCCTTGTATGGAATATCATGGGACATGCACTCCAAGCCATTCTTCTAGTCAGAACACAGGATCTAAAGAGGCCACTGTAAGAGTTGGCAGATAGACTTTGGGTATTTGCTATGGAAATTCTATATAAAAAGCTGGCCAGCCTCCCAATTTCCATTATACAAACTCCCAAATATCCAGCTCAGAAAGCAGCATTCAAGTGCTGTACTGTACCTTGTGTTTGCAATCCTCTCCCTCCATTCTTCTGAGAGGAAGTCACCTCTTTCCAGCTGAAACCAGACAAAGAACAGAAACACAGAGGGGTTAACAGGGCTCCCTCCAGAGAGGGACAAACAGGCTGCACCAGCTGACCCCACAACAACCAGGGACAAGTGGAACCTTTTGGAAAGGCAGAGGTGGAGCAGGAAAAGTTGTCCCTGAGGTTTCTCCCTCCCTGCTCCCACCCTCAGCCCCTCTCCTGCATGGGAAGAAGAAGTTCTGCTCTGTGAAGAAGCCAAAAGTTCTGGCACTCATTGCAAAACTGCCCAGAAAATGCCTCCTGAAGGCGCCCAGGGCTGGGGACCCCCCCTCAGCACAGGGAGCTGAGCCTGGATTGGGAACAGCTCCTGCTGGGAGCTCTGGCTCCCAATTCAGGCTCTTGCTGCACTGCATAAACAACAATCTGATTTTTGTGCTGCTAAATATAAACCCTGAGCACTTCTAACACTTTCAAGTTGGAAATGAAGTAACATAAAGGCCTTGTTTGAAAATAAGTGTACAGTTCTGACTTCAGTGGTTGTGAAGCACCTTTCTGGTGACACCACATCAAGCCCAGGTGAGCACAGAGCTGAAATTTCCTCAGTTGTGTTCTGGAAATGAGAGGAGCCCATGGGCCAAACCTCTGCTGTGTGAGGAGGGCTGGGGGAGGAAGATAAGAGGAGGAGAGAAAAAATAAGGTGCAAGTCTCTAATTAATGCTGCTGACACCCTTTGAAGATGAGGTTTGTGCCAGAACCTCAGGAACATCAAAGCAGCTGCTGAGGATCCTTTACCTGCACTGATTCCTCTGTCTGGGAAGGAGGGAGGATTTCACATTTAATTCTCATCAGTGACAACTCCAAAGTTGCAGACTCTGGAACAACTTCCATCCCTCAGGGCTGGGAGCATCCAAAGGGAGCTCCTGGTGCCAGGCAGGGACACAGGGGGTGACAAACCTGCCAATGCCACTGTGAGGGACAAAGCCACAGGTGCCAACAGGAATGGGGCTGCTTCCAGGAGAAATGAAGGGGAACAGCACCAAAATGTCCTGCAGCTACACAAGAGGACTGAGAAAAGTGGACATCTCAGGCAAGAGATCAAGAACTTTGTCAAGAGCCTTAAGTGCCAGAAACTGAAGAGAGCAGGTAAGAGCAGCTGAAGTTATTCAGAAATACCTGTTCCACCAGCTGGGCTGGAATCAGAGTTAAAGCAGAATTAATTCCTGTGATCTCCCACCTGTGGGAGGGGAAACACCTTTGACATTTCTGCTGTAATAAAACCAAAGGATAAGATGGAAGCTGAACTCAAATATCCAACCCAAGGACATCTTGTTGGGCACTGTCAAAATCTAAACCAGAGATTTCACAATAAAAAAGTTCTAAGAAGACTTTTTTCTCATATAAGGAAAGATATTTCTGGATGCCTATATGTGGACACCACCTCTAGATTGATTTTAGGAGATAATTTTGTCTCAGCCTGATCTATTCTTGTAGTGAACAGCTCCATGGTTGGGGAACCAAGACAAAGTCAAAGAAAACCCACATGAGAGGCAACTGTGTTTATTTTCTAACAATTTTTGCAAGTCAGCTCCTCTATGGCATCCTCCACACCACCAGTTTCTAAAGTCTCCACAGGGTTTTCCTACACTAACAGGGAAAGGAAAACATTGGGAAAAGCAGGAGCCACAAACATCACAGTCTGCAAGAGAAGAGAGAAGCAGAGTAACATGAAACTATTTTGAAATGCTAAACTTCATCATAAAGGTCTTGAAATCCAACCTATGTAGCTGTAAGGCCTCACTTGGGTCCAGTTTCACTGTGTGTTTGCCCTGTCTGTGTGGTTAGAAAAGCATTTATAACCAAAATCTCCAGGTTCTAACCTGATATCACCCATGGAGGATGAACACTTTGCAAGCCAGAGCCATTTAACAATTCAAATGAAGCACAGCCCAGCTTAAACACATCTATTTTTGTGTGGCACTGCTTCCCCAGCTCATGCTTAGCCAAGAGCCAAGGGAAAAACTTCTCCAGGAAAAACACTGGAGTACAGAAATAATCAAATGAGCAACTGTGGCTGAGAGAAAATGGGTTATTTCATCCCTCTGGAAGCAAGGCAGTGATTCCTGGGGCAGGGACTGAGCTGCCTGACCCTGGAACCAGGGGGTTATTTTATATTTAGCTCCTTACCCACTGTGCTGGGGCACTGATCAATAAATGATGACTAAAAAAAGGAAGGGAGCTCTTTACCCATCAACTGGCACAGAGAATCCAAAAAAATCCCACTCAGCTTGGTGGTTTGCAATATTATTGAGAGTGAAACAAGAACTGGGAAGGAAAATCAGATGATTAAGGCAAGTCCAGTTTGCTGGAGCAGGAGAGCTGGTCCATGCTGGGAGAAGGGGACACATCCACACAGTGACAGCCCAGGGCCACACTCAATCTCTTCCTCCACTGTCAATAAATGATCACTAAAAGAAGTAAAGGAGCTTTTTACCCATCAGCTGACACAGAGAATCCCAAAAAATTCCCCCCAAAATCCCACTCAGCTCAGTGGTTTGCAATAATATTGAGAGTGAAAAGAGAACTGGGAAGAAAAATCAGCTGATGAGGGAAAATCCAGTGTGCTGGAGCAGCAGAACTGGTCCATGCTGGGAGAAGGGGACACATCCACACAGTGACAGCCACAGGGCCACACTCAATCTCTTCCTCCACTGTCAATAAATGATCACTAAAAGACGTAAAGGAGCTTTTTACCCATCAGCTGACACAGAGAATCCCAAAAAATTCCCCCCAAAATCCCACTGAGTTCAGTGGTTTGCAATAATATTGAGAGTGAAAAGAGAACTGGGAAGAAAAATCAGCTGATGAGGGAAAATCCAGTGTGCTGGAGCAGCAGAACTGGTCCATGCTGGGAGAAGGGGACACATCCACAGGGCCACACTCAATCTCTTCCTCCACTGTCAATAAATGATCACTAAAAGAAGGAAAGAAGCTTTTTACCCATAGAATGCCCAAAAATTCCCCCCCAAATCCCACTCAGCTCAGTGGTTTGCAATAATATTGAGTGTGAAAAGAGAAATGGGAAGGAAAATCAGCTGATTAAAGAAAATCCAGTGTGCTGGAGCAGCAGAACTGGTCCATGCTGGGAGAAGGGGTCACATCCACAGGGCCACACTCAATCTCTTCCTCCATTGTCCCCTCCCTCACCCTGTTCCTCCTCTCTCTGAAACTTAATCTCCTTAGTGAATAATGAATGGAAGGGACCATCTGTAACACAGATATTTTCATCTGATTAGACAATGCAGGAGATGCTTTATCTAACAGGATAATGAGCTCACAGAAATCGCCTCCAGAGCTGCTGCCTGCATTGCTGCTAAATTTAGAAGCCAGACCAGGTTTTTATTCAGGTTTTTCAAGCAGCCACTGCAGGAATACACTCAGCAGCATCTGATTCCTGTAACTCTTCCTGCAACTGGAGGGAAAGCAGCAGGGCCCAGCCTAGGGGAGGCAGCCAGAGGTACACAGGGGGTTTGAGTTCAAGTGACTACAGAACAAATCAGGCTGCAATTTTGTGTGGAAATATGGCTAAAAAGGGGTTTTTTAATATATAATTGTGGACAAAATAGAGTGGAAACATAGCTGGACAATTGGGGTTTATTTTAAATGAACGGGGCCTTGCTCTCCAACATTCATGTCCAAGCTCAGAACTTCCAGCATTAACAAGAACAATCCAATGGGGAAGGACAGAAGCTGAATTTCAAGGCTGCAGAACAATTTGGTGAGGGGACAGTGACTGCCCTTCTCTCCAAGGCATCTCAAACACAACTTTATTGTTTGAGGAGTTTTGGGGGTCCTGGGGTTTTGGTTATATTCCCAGCAGTTTTCTTTCAATGGCAAGCTGAAAAAATCCTCTTGGGAGGATTTGGGGTAAGTTGCAAAAACATCATGAGGTTCTGAGTCCCTTGGACTGCTCCAACAGGCAAAAAGGACAGAAAATATTTTTCAAGCAAGATTCTACCGGCTGGGAAGGCTGGAGATGGTGCAAAGCTACAGAGATCATGATTTCCCAAGTAACAAGGAACTGGAGACATGCACAATCCCAAACAAGTGTGGAACACTCTGCAAAAGTCAACTTTTCAGCAGATCACTTCTCAGGGAGAACCCTAAATCCATTTGAATTGGAAATCTCTAACTGTACTGGGATTGTGGCTAAAAAACCCTGCAGGGCATCTCCAGGATTTACTGGTGCCTTAGGCACCACAGTTTTTAATTTACAGCAAGAGAGAAACAGCATCCACAAAATTCAACCAGAGCTGCAGGTGGGATCTGAAATTCTTCCCACAGAACTCCCACCAAGCCCTCCCCTCCTTCAGCATTTGATTCTTCTCAAAACACAAAACCATCATGAGGTTCTGAGTGCCTTGGACTGCTCCAACAGGCAAAAAGGATAGAAAATATTTCTCAGCAAGATTCTACCAGCTGGGAAGGCTGGAGATGCTGAAAAGCTACAGAAATAATAATTTCCCAAGTCAGAAGGAGCAGAACAGGAGTTTGGGAAGGTCAGGCCCCTGTGCTGGGGAGGAGGGCTGGGTTCTCAGCCCAGTGCTGGCCAGGGAGGCTCTGTGCTGCTGGAACCATAAATTCACAAATCCAGGATGTCTCAGTGCAAACACTTGGCTCCCAAACCCCCAGAATTTCTGCCTGGAAAAGTACACATGGTTATTTTTAGGTCCTTGTTCTTTTCAAAAATAACCAGAGGCACGAATCCAAACCTCCAAAATGTGGCATCATTTCAAAGCCACAGGGGGCGTTTGGAGGGATTTTCAAATGCCAAACCAGCAGATTTCCTGCTGAAATGGAGAGGTCAAACATACCAGGAGCAAACAGCTGGCTCATCCTGCCCTGAGAGCAGCTCCTAGAGCAGGAGGTTTTCACATGCAGGTGATGTCAGTCACCATCACAAAGCAGCTCCTGGGCACTGGAACTCCCACACAGCTCCCTGCTTGTGCTCAGAACAGGAGAAATATTAAATAA